TGTGTCCTGTTCTGCCTGTCCATCCAACCTGACAAGGTAACTACCTGTTCCTCCATAGTCAGGGACTCCAGGAGGCTACCCAGCCTCCTCCCTCCCTCTGCTGGGTCATCATAGAGAAGGCTCTTCTTCAGCCACATTGTAAAAATAGCATTCTTTGCAGATCTGGGCAGTGGAGAGAAATTGGAGCTGTTCTTACCCAAATTGAGTTAGCTGGGCGTTGAATGCCTGGAAGAAAAGGAATATCAACACCTAAGGAGGGCCCAGATTAGACAGACTCAGCCCAGCACTACACTTGCCTTTTTTGAGCCCAGTGCTTAGAGATGCCCTTTGGGTGGCCAGATTCATGCCCCTTACCATGTATGTAGGGAGTGGAGGGCTTTATTAGAGCATACACACAACACACATCCCAGTGAGTTTTCATAGTTGGACATACTCATGTAATAAGCATCTAATCTAGTTTATCTTGTTAGAATGATGTTTCTTTTCTGATTCTAAAGGCACTTGTAGGAATTTCAGAAAATAGCAAAGTATGCTAAAGAAAATAGAAAATATTTTGGTCTCTTAAAAATCTGTCAGTTTTGGGGCTGGAGAGAGAGCTCAGTGGCTAAGGACACTGACTGTTCTTGCAGAAGACCCCGGGTTCAAATCCTAGCACCCACATGGCAGCTAACAACTGTCCGTAACTCCGGTTCCAGGGGATCCAACAGTCTCTTCTGTCATCCGTGGGCATTGCACGACATGGGTGCATTTAACCTACATGCAGGCAATACATGCATACACATAAAATAAAAATAATAAATAGAATATTTTTAAAAATCTGTCAGTTTTCATTAAGGATGTGGCACTGGGTAGATTAACTAGGCTCCTAGGGATGAACTCATATCGAAGGGCATTTCAGAACACAAATTAGATTTGATAGACCTTAAAAAATAATAGAGGACATGATATCACGTAGGGGGAATAAGGGAGGAGGCCAGGTAAGGAATGGGGTCTAAATATACTAAAAATATATTGTATGTTAATCCCAGCACTTAGGAGAGGCAGATGAAAGGGGATCTCTGTGAGACTGAGGGCAGCCTGATCTACATAGTGAGTTCCAAGCCACCCGAGGTTACAGGGAGACCCTGTCTCAAAAACAAAACAAAGCAAAAAACTTTGAACTCTCAAATTCAATTAAAAATATTTTAAAAATCTTATTTCTTGACATTGTTGCAATAGTGGCACTTTTATCTTAGGGGGTAATCAACAGCTACCTAATTTGATTTAAAGTCCTCTCAGTGGGAGGAAATTCATGTGTGGTACTGTAAACCTAACCAAATACACATAACTGGAGAGGTCATAGATCTTAGAGAAAACTTCAAGGCTGTCCCATCCCTAAAGAAATGTAATCCCTTACTATGTGCAAAATATGGATCCTTAAATTTATAGATAAGTATCCCAGTCACCACCCATCAAAGAAGCTTCTTTTTAACAGGCAGAGATTATTAGAGTTCTACAACTGGTCACATACAGAGACTGTGAAGTTCCCAAGCCTAAGTGGCACATCTGCAATGCAGCCCATACACCTAAAGCTCATGGAACATAGAACAAGGGATGAAGAGAACAGTAACACAGCTTTCTGTTCTTATCAATAAAGCTCCCTCATGCAACAGGGAGCCAAGAACATAAAAGGTCACAAATGGCTAAAATGTAGAGAGTAAGAGTCTACAGAGTGTGGGTCCTTGGACAGGACCATTGCGGAAGAAGGGGCAGAAAGATTGTAAGAGCCAGGGAGGAGGTGCATGACTATACGCAAGTGTAGTCCTACAGGTTCCTGGGACCTTGCTTGTATGAACCTATAGCAATGGTGTCAGCATGCACAGGACCCATGCAAACTCAATCAGACAAAAACCCAGCACAGACCTCTGGAAATAGGCAGCAGGCCCCAATTTTAGTCAAATAATTATTGGCAGCTGATTACTACTGGGTGAGGAAGAGCTGACCTTCTTAAAGGGAGGGACTCTAGATAGGCTGACTAGACCTCAGTGGATGAACTTGCACTGAGGGACGTCTTGGACACTAACTTGACATGATAGGCTTTAATGCAAATAACTGAATGTATGAATTCCGGGGGGGGGGTCTATGGGAGGAGGCCAGTGGGGAAGAGGGTATAAAAATTATTAAGATGTTCTGTATGAAATACACAAAATTTCAACAATTTTTTTTTTAGATCTGCCCGTTTCTTACCCTGGCATACAGATATTTTTGCTTGTAAATATACATGCATTCAGTGCATGGTGTTGAAGCGCTATTCATGTGTTCACAAACATACAGAAGTTTTAAACAGTTGCAGTTACATGACTTGGAGAGTTTCAGGTGCCTCCATTGTGTCACCACCCATCTACAGGATGGTGCTGAAAGAAAGAGAAACTGAAACCCAGCTAGCTCTGTCCTTGGTCACAGGAAAAGGGGGCTTTTCAGGAAGACGTTGAAATAATGGCTGACATGGAAGTGTGGGTAGTGAACAAACTTCTTAATCCACTTACGGTTTTTCTCTGTGTCAGGAAATTAAGCATGGGCAATAGGAAGTTCAAAGACACCTGAGTAGAGAGCCCTTACACGGAGCAGGCCAGCACCTCCATCAGGCTTTGTTCACTGCTCTGGGAAGCTCAGGCCTTCAGGTTGAAGCTGACTTTGGTAGCAGGCTCCCTTTAATTTTTTCTTTTATTTCACTCCCTTGTAGGTTCTCAGACAGACTTAGTTGTAGCAGCTCTTGTTTTAATACTACGAGCTCAGTCAAAGCACTGGAAATTGACCCAATTTTGTGGGCTGCAGCAAAATTAACATCATTACTACTAAAGTGGTTCCAACAGTGAGTTTTCTTTGAGAAGTCCACACCCATGAGCTCAGATGCATCAGACATTTTCCCCCAAGTACCCCTCTTCCTCTTAATCTTCATGCTTAAACATCAACATTAAAAATCTCTTATAAAGACTACAGAGTGTTTATCCCTGAATATACCTATATCAAACCTCTGCCACCTAAGGCTCAAGGACAATTGTGGAAGAGGGGGTGGAAAGATTTTAAGAGCCAGAGGTGGTTGATGACCACAAGGAAGCAAGAGTTTTCCACATATCTGGGAAGTTACTCATGAATTCACAGTAGTGGTGACAACATGCATAGGACCCATGTGGGCTTGAACCAGTCAGAATCTCAGCTTAGAAGGAGAGAAGTAGGTAAGAAGCCCCAACCCTAGCTGAGGAACTATTGGCAGCCAATAACTGCTGGAAGAGGGAGACTTGGTTTCTTTAAGGGTGTGACTCTAGATAAGTTAACCAGGCTCCAGTGGATAGATGCATATCAAAGAGCATTCAGGAACACAAACTTGGCTTGATAGTCCTTAATATGTATGACACAGTACATGGAATCCAGTCGGGGGAGGGCATAAGAGGGGTGCAGATAGGGGAGGGTGTCTAACTATGATCAAAATATATTGTATGAAATTCACTAAAATTGAGTAAAACAAATGAGAAAATCTCTTGGGGCTGGAGAAATGGCTCAGCTGTTAAGAGCACTGGCTGGTCTTGCAGAGTACACAGGTTTGATTCCCAGCACCGACATGGCAGGTAACACCTTAAGTCCAGTTCCAGGGAATCCAACACCCCCTTTCTGACCTCCATGGGCATTGTACAGCATGGGTATACTTACATATATGCAGGCATATATGTAAAATCTTACAATAAACTCTAAATGTGATTTTAAAAAATAGATCAAACAATGCCTTTGGGATGCTGGTTGCTTTGGTCTGGTCTGAGTTTCACTACTGTGTCTTCAGGAAAGAACAGTTGGCACCTGTGTTAGGCAGCTTGCTCTTGCTGGAACAGCAGAAATAATCAACTTTAAAAAAGAAAAGGTTTATTTCGGCTCTGTATTAGAGGCTAGTCAGTTGGACCTGTTGCTGTGGGGCAGACCTTCTGCTGGTGAAGCAGTGCATCATGGGAGGAGCACATGCAGAAGGGATTGCTTACCTCATGGCTGCCAGGAAGAAGGGAGGGGAGAAAGAGGAGGTCCCAAAGCCCCTTTGAGGACATGCTGCCAATGATCTAAGACCATCCACTGGGCCCTTCCTCTTAAAGGTCTCTCCATCTCTCAGTACTGCTATAGGTTAAGGACCAAGCCTGTAGCACATTTGCCTTTGGGGACCACTTAAGACACAAAGTATAGCAGCACCAGCCTCTGTTGCTGTTGTTTTTATAGGCAGCATCTGCATCCTGACTAGTGAAGGAGCTCTGTGCTCCCCCTTGTACTGTGGAAAGCCACTTCCTTCAGAGGTACCCTTCTCTACTGGTGTGTTTACAACGGACACATCAGTTGCTCATATTTGGAGCTACAGTATGATAATTTCATGCATGTATAGAGCTGGAGTGGTCATCTGGGTGAGTAGCATTCCCCTGCCCTTAAACACATCGTTTCTTTGAGTTGGAAACCTTAAAACTCTTCTAGTAATTTTGAAATGCATAAAAATTGTCCTAAATTCCCCTACTGTGCCACTGGGCACCAGAGTTTATTCTGTCAAACTGCATTTTGGTACTGATTTTCCAATCTTTTCCTAGCCCCTTCCCCATTTTCTCTCTCTCTTTTTTAAAATAAAAATATATGTTTTCTTGTGTAACTTGTAATTTGAGTTATTACATACATAGAAAATGAATTGGAATTTTTGTATTTACAAAATATATTCTCAGGTCATTCCTTTCCCCTCTTGTTAAGAACATGTTCACAGCTGAGAATGGTCTTTATAGGCCTGTAATCCTCCCTGCACTCTGGTGGCAGAGGCAGAGGACTGCTTCAAGTTCAAAGCCATCCTGGGCTACATAGAGACACCCTGTCTCAAAAAGCCAAAAGAAATGCCACACACACACACACACACACACACACACACACACACACACGAACATGCTCCTATGTAGCGTCATGAAGTGGCCTTTCTGTTTACATGTGTTCTTGTTGTGTTGTCTTTGCAGTCGAAATCAGCTGTCTACCCTGCCCGCCTGCCTGTGTGGTCTGCCTCTCAAAGTCTTAATCGCAAGTAACAACAAGCTTGGATCACTACCCGAAGAGATAGGTCAGCTCAGACAGTTAATGGAGTTGGTATGTTACTGATTTCTAAGATGCTCTTGTTTGCTAACTGATCATGATCTTTCAGGCTATTCAGAAAGATTGTTTTCTACAGCTGGACAAGGAGGTGCCTGTAACTATCCATTCCCAGTGTTATAACAAAATACTCTAGGCTGGAAATTTTATAAGGGAAAAAATGATCATTTAGATCACAGTTTTGGAGACTGAAAGTCTGAGATCATCCGGCTTTCTCTGTGTGGCCTCTGCTGGGAGATCTCCCTACCCCACGGTCGATAGCATCATAGTGGGAGCAAGTGTGAAAGGGAAATAATGCATGGCTAGACAGGAAGCCAAGAAGAGGGAGGGACCAGTTTTGTTCTGTTTCAATAACCCACAATCATGGTTTCTCACTGGGGTCTCTCAAGCACCATAGCCCCTTTGACACATGCCCTAACCACCATCCAACTAGGTCCGCCTCTTAAAAGTTCCACTACCTCCTAATACCAGCAAACTGGAGTTAATATTCTAATGTGTGAACCCTTGGGGAACAAACCAATACCAAAACCTCGTGTTCCTTGAAAGCAGTGTTTGATAAAGGCAGTAAGTGAGGAGACATTAAGCTGGCAGTGGTGTTGCTGGGACATGGTTCCTGAAATTTACAAGTTTCCTGTGGTTTACAGTTCCTTATTTTTACAGGACTTGCAGTTCCCAAGGTTTTCAGTTTATCACATTTTAGAGACAATTTTTGCAGTGTACATATAAATCTGAAAACGTATGTTAAAGTAGAAAAGTAATCTGAGTAAGTTAGTAGGCCACACTCAATGAAGTCAGAGGACAGAAAGAGCAGGGTGCTGTGGTACTCTAGAACAGGGCTAAATGCAGTCTGGACACAGACATACTGGGTCACTTACAAGATCAGCTGATGGTTTCTTAGGTCTCCTATGTTGAGCCTAGCTCTGTGGAGAGCTGCCCTGCATCTTAGTCCTGTCATAGTACTGTCTCAACCCTCAGTCTTTGCTCTCCCAGCACATACTCAAGTTCTAGAATGTCAGAGCTATAGTGTATTGTAGAAGCTAGCTAGTCCAAACCATTCACCTGATCGAATGATGAAACCTAGATCAGAGAGACAGTGAGTGACATATGGAGGTTCACCCTGGCATAGCTCAGTGGTAACTTGAACTGAAACTCTCTTATCAGCTGCCCTTGTCCAGTGGAGAGTCAATGCAAATAAACAAGATGGTTTAAATGTAGTGGTGGCCATGTTTAAAAAGTCAAAAGATGGGGCTGGAGAGATGGCTCAGTGGTTAAGAGCATTAACTGCTCTTGCAGAGGACCTGGGTTCGATTCCCAGCACCCACATGGTGGCTACGAACCATCCTTAACTCCAGTTCCAGAGGAATCCAAAGCCTTCTTCTAACCTCCGTGGCATCACACAACGTGGGTGCACTCACATACATACAGGCAATACACTCATACACATAAAATAAAAATAATAAAATTTTTTTAAAAAAAGTCAAAACAAGTAAGTGAAATTCACTTTTATATTATTTAACTATGGATAGCCAAAACGTTGATTTCAGTATACATATGATGCAAAGCTAGTGATTGTTTTGCATCCTTGTGTTCATGCGCTAAGCCTTTCCCACCACGTCCAGCATGGATCTTGTAGTGGTAGGTAGTGGTAGCACACCACACAAGGGGACCAGCCATGTGCTGGGTACTCAGTGCCGTCTGAGTTGGGGGCCACCCATTTGATTGGGCAGCTTAGAAGCCTGCGTGTATTTTGTTCTGTTGCCTCCTGTGTCTGAGCAAATGTGCTCATGGTAAAAATCATTTATTTGGTCAGCAGTGCAGCTCAGTAGGTAAAGGTGTTTACTACCAAGCCTGATGACCTGCGTTCAGTTCCTGGGACCCACATGGTGGAAGGAGAGAAATGACCTCTCCAAGTTGCCCACTGACCTCAACATGTGCACTGTAGTGATACACACACACACACACACACACACACACACACACACACCACAATAAATTTTTAGAAAAGCATTTATTTGTGAAGCAGGAGAAAAGTTAATAATGATATTATTTAACCACAAGGAAGCGATATAAACGGCCTTGGTTAATTAAGGTCACAGACTAAAAAAAGATTATTTTACATCTATTCCCATTTATCTTTGATTTTTTTTTTCTTGCTTAAAATAGTAGTGTTATTATAGGGTAACCCTTCGTGTTAGATTATTTTTAGTTATCAACCAGGAAAACGTTCCCTAGAACTTTCTAGAACAGGAGGCTTTCTAGAACAGGAGTCATAGGCTTTTGTTTTGTAGTTACAGATTACTGATTTGTTTAAAAAAAAAATGCTGGGCACTCCCCAAGCATACAGAATACTCACTATTTAAGGCTTCATTGTGGGAAATCACTCAGCCCACTGGACTCTAAGCATAGTTTTCTGGCTATTTTAGAAAACTTTGCAAATTTTCTCACCAGACTCCAAATATTCTGAATGTGAATGACATAGGAACATTCAGTGTTAATATCAGCTTGAAAAATAAAACCCAAACGCCTTAGCCATTGGGAAGTAAGCAGTTGTTCCTTCTGATTTTTTTTAAGGAGGTTGAGTTGCAGAACATTAGCTCAGCCTTTTCATTACATCACACTTATTCACACCTCTTAAAACAAACAGTATCCCAGTTTAGCCATCACCTTGCAGGGACATTGTGCAGGAATTTGGAAAAGCAGCCCTTCCTCTTCCTGGAGAAGCCTCGGAGACTCTGTAGAGCTACCCAGGCAGAGCCTGTTTGTATTTCCACCTTGATGCAGGTGCAGGTGTGGGAAATTTATGAAATCTTAATTCTCTAATCTTTCTCTTTAGAGCTGTAACTGATGGTTGTAATCTAGAAGTTTTTGACTCCCTTGCCCACCCTTGGTGCACAGCTGTTGTGTATGTATGTGCTGCTTTGTGGGGAAGGAAGAAAGCTGACATTTACTGAGCACCTGCTTATGTCAAGTAGTCTGCTAGAGTCTTAAAAATAACCTGACAGATTATTGTGTTTACATGTTGTAGTCAAGTGTTGGTTTTAGGGTTATTTATGCCAAAATTGTGGTGCTACATGTCTGATTAAAGTTCATATCAGGACTGAGGACTGAACTAAGTGGTAGAGCACTTGCTTAGCATGTGTGAGTCCCCAGGTTTCATCCCCAATACCCCAAAGATACATAGATACATACATAGATGCCTTGATATATAGTTGCATGTTAGATGATACGTGATAGATAATTGATAGATGATAGGTAATGTATAGATACATAGTTAGATGAAAGATGACAGATTCATAGATGATAGATACAAAGGCTGAGATAAATGAGCGATAGATGATAGATAGATAGACAGATAGATAGATAGATAGACAGACAGATAGATAGAGATAGATAGAAACATACATACATACATACATGCATACCCATATGTGCATGTCTATAGAGGCCAGAGATCAATCTTGGGTGTCCTCTTCAGTCACCTCTCAATGTTTTTGTGTGTGTGTGCTTGAGTGCAGTTCTGCTGTGTGTGTGTGTGTGTGTGTGTGTGTGTGTGTGTGTGCACGCACATGAAGAGACCAGAGAAGGACATTGGGTGTTCTCTGTGACTCTCTCCCTTATGTCCTTGAGACAGACTCTCTCAGAGAACCTAGAGCTCCCTATTTTTTGGCAGGACTGGCTGGCCAGCAAGGCTTAGGAATCCTGTCTCCACCTCTAGCCCTGGGATTACAGGCTGTTGTCACTGTGCTTGGCTTTTTACATGGGTGCTAAGGATTCAAACTCAGGGCTTCATGCTTGAACCAACAAGCACTTTACTGAGTGAGCCATCTCCCCAGACCCGGAAACACACTTCTTTTACTGTGCAATCCTGTTGAATGATGATGTGCATTTGGTAAGAGGTGCTACATAGTTACAGTCAACAGCTGTGAAGACAAGCACACTAAGAGCTCAATAAAGTTGAAGCTTTTTATGGATGAGACATTTGCCACAGACCCAGGAGCCTTCTCATGAGTTCTGTGTGCTGAATGGCTTGGGTCCATCCATGGTCTGGCCTTGTTGGCTTTTCCTCAGTTCTGTCCTTCTCCAGCTCCCTCACAGGGCCTGACTCAGGAATCTGCCTTTAAAACCAGAAAGCCCACCAGACTGGACCCAGTCGCATGTGTTTCCTGGCACTAACTAGACAGTCTTTTATTCACTTTTTACAAAATGATTGTGTGGAGAGTTTGAGTTCAAGGACTGAGGACTGACTTCTGAGGAAAGTCTTCCTTCATTATTTTATGAGTAGCATTTCCGCATCTGAGGTAGGCGTGGGATCCTGTGGCATGCACCTGCTGTCTTGGGAGATGTCTCTGACCTCTCTGGCTTCCATGGAAACCCAGGATTTGCTCACAGCTCCTCTGTGCCTTCCAGTTCTACTTTTACTATCAAGAGCAGTGCTTGTGGCTCTGTAGCGAGAAGAGTGTTAAGAGGAGATAGTTTATCATACCAAAGGTTGCTTGGAAGTGTTCAAGCTTAAATAAATACACTGAAGTTTTTCTTTTTTTAAAAAAAGTTCTAACCACAGTTGTTGAGGGATTCTATTGTTAAGAAGTAAAAATGGACTTTACTAAGTACCACACAATCTTTTAATTATTTCTTGCATAGTAAATGAATGTTTCCTGATGTTGAAAGAAATTTAATTAGTTAATGCTCATCAGTTCTTATTTGTTTGTTTATTAATTTATGTGTGTGTGTGTGTGCGTGTGCGTGTGTGCGTGTGTGTGCGTGTGCGTGTGTGCGCGTGTGTGCGTGTGTGTGCGTGTGCGTGTGTGCTGGAAGTGGAAGTCAGAGGCTGGCTTGCAGGAGTATTGTGTGTGTGTGCGTGTGCGTGTGTGCGTGTGTGTGCGTGTGCGTGTGTGCATGTGTGCTGGAAGTGGAAGTCAGAGGCTGGCTTGCAGGAGTGGGCTCTCTCCTTCCACCAGTGTAGGTTCTGGAGATTGAATTTGGGTAGTCAGGCTTGTAGCAGGCACCTTTATCTACTGAGCCATCTTGAGGGCCCTCATCTCTCCTTTTTACATAGGCACAAAGAGAGGCATTTACCTAAAGCTGTACTGTGCAGTCATACAAAATGCATTTCTACAAATTGGCGTGATTCCCTGGTGGTAGCAGAGTGTTAACAGTTTGCTTTTCCATCAATTACATGGCTAGTTTTGTGACAAAAATTCTTAAGCTAATAGTGTAAAAGCATTGAGGTTTCCTTTTGTTTTGTTTTGTTTTTTAAAGTCAGGTGAAGGTCACTTCTGAAAGACCACATACAATTCTTCTTGGCTTGGTCTCCCTTGGACTCTCTCACCAAGATCCTTCTGATATGTGTTTATGTTGGCTTTTGTGATACATACTTCTTTTTAAAAACTTGTGCAGTCTTTTTAACATCTTCTTCTTAAAGTGAGCATGCCCTCTTTATTTTTTTTAATTTTCTTTTTGATTTATTTTATTTTATATTTAAAAATTTTACGTGAGTGTTTAAATGCACTCGTGTCATTCATTGCCTGCAGAGGACAGAATAGGGTGTCAAATTCCCTGGAACTGGAGTTACAGATGGTTGTTAGCTGCTGTGTGGGTGCTGGGATTCGAACCCAGGTCTTCGGCAAAAACAACCAGTGCTCTTGACTGCTGAGCTATCTCTCCAGTCCCAAGCATACCTACTTTAATAAATTGCAAGTTCATTCAGATATTTTAAATCGTTATCATTTTTGCATTGTAAGGATAAGGTAACAATTAGCATTTACTAACAAAAGTGTGTTGATCTACAACATGTGCATTTCTCAAGATTTCCTTTATTGTGATAAAAAGAGAATTTTACATCCCAAAGTTACTTCTGATTACTTAATTAAGCCAGTAGAAAATGAGTGTAGTTTAAAACAGTGTTAGAATTCTCTTTTGCTAAAAAGTTTAAGCATTGAGGGGATGAAGAGATGGCTCAGTGGTTAGGAACACTGCCTGTTCTTGAAGAAGACCTGGGTTCGAATCCCAGCACCCACATGGCAGCTAACAACTGTCTGTAACTCCAGTTCCAGGGGATCCGACAGCCTCTTCTGTCCTCTGCAGGCATTGCACAACATGGGTGCATTTACCTACATGCAGGCAATACACACATACACATAAAAATAATAAATAAAAGATTTTTTTAAAAGATTAATTTATGTGTTAGAAAGTAAAATCAGCAAATAATGCATAACAGACACTCATGATTCTTTGTGCTTTTGCTGTGTATTTGTGGTGTTTTAACTCTGAATATAGAGTGATTTGATTTCACTGAACTTGGAATAATTATTCTTTTAGACATAGTAGCTTAGGGCTAATGGAAAACTCAAAAGGAATTAATTTGAATATTCTAATAGGGCAATGGAATTTGTAATCTGATAATCCTCAGTAATTGCAGAAGTGTGAAGCATTGATGTTTGTTTTTAAATTTTATTTTTTCCTAGGTATTGTCTTCTCTAAATAATTAAGAGCTCCATGCTTTATCTTATGCTAAATATATACAGAAATGTTCTAGAGAATGAGACGGTTTTAGAAATACTGCTTGTACATTTCCAAGTCTAAAACATCCCCAGACATGTATACTATTATCTCTTCCTTCCTCTCCTCTTTCAGCTAATTAGGTGTAATTACCCACAGGCTTTTCTTTTTGTGATGAAATTTATAACCTTTTTAAGGTTTGACAAGGTTCAGTGGCTCTTGGGGAATAGAATTTTGCCCTGTTTTTACAATATGGATTGTACAGTGGAGAATCACCATTTTCTCCCTGATGTGCTAGATTTTCTGCCTATTATTTTATGAGGAAGGCAAATAACTGACAGAAGTGTAGAATAGTATTAAGATAATCTGACCTTCACATATGCCCTTCAAAATGTGAAAGGGATGTTGGATGCTGTACTTATTAGTTACCTTTAAATGTCTTGTAGATGGAAACATTTGGTTCCTATCATTATGGGAAGCTTTCTTCTATGTGTTAAGTAACTGCTTTCTCTACCAGTAAGTAATCAAATAGAGTTGTTTGATAAGGCCATTATGGTAGGTATTGTGTTGGCATGAGTTACCTTGGATTTTAAAGGGAAGCCCCATAAAACTTGTCAATCATGAAACAATTCTTGATCTGCAAATAGTCTGACTGGGACCCCCATAAACCCCAACCATAAAGTGATCTCTGCTCTGCAAACAGGCCCTGTTCTGCAGAAAAGCCCTTTTGAGACCCTCATCGAAAACAACTCTTTCCACTCCTATTCCTAACATTTTGGTGCTAAAACTTGGGAGAGAGCTGTCAGTTTAAAACTCCCATTCCTAATAGATGTAGGCCTCCAGTGTGCCTCAAAGCCACTGTTAACCTGGGCACAGTTGACACAGGGCAAGGTGTATGAAGTTCCCCCTAAACATGGAATGAGACTGAGTTTCACCCCAGGAGTATTCATGCTGTGAGTGTATTGCCTTAATATATAGGTAACCTTTTTGCTTCCATTTCCCCACTCATTAAGAGCAAGATTTTCCTTACTAATTATGCCCTTGAAACTTCTGAAAATTGTTAAATTCACATTGAAACTCTGTGATTTCCATGAGTTATAAAAAGATTTTTCCCAAGCAATCACTTACAAGACTTATAAAAACTTAGTTTACAGTTTCATAACACAAATCCTCTCCACACATAGAAAAAAAATATATCTCATGAATTCTTCCCCACAATCCTACCCCCACCTGAGACTGCATCATTGCTGTGCGGTGCCTGGACTGGAGTGTGGTGGGCTGAGCCTGGATTCCAGGTATGTGAGAGCTCTTGTAAAATAGAATGGAATGGGCCTGCTGATTCACAACTTAGTTAAGGCAAAGAAAGATCCTAGCTTTCATTGGAAAAAATTGCTTTTGGACTCCATGACTGATCAGATGCTGCCTCCTAATTCTGCTTTACTTTCTTGGATATTTTTGTCTCTATAAATGTACTGGTAGAGGTTTTTGTTTTTGTTTTAGATAGTAGTAAAATTTTCCTTAAACTTCTGTGTGGCTTTTCTGGAGACCAGGAAAAGAGCAGCAGCTTGAGTGACGCTGCTGACCATGTCCCCAACCTGTCTCAACCCAACCCAGGCAGCTGAAGGAAAGTGCAGTGTGCCAGCCACCCCGTGCACACTATGAACTGCAGCTCATCTCTTGTTGTAGTGATGATAACTATGTCATCTCTATGATGTGGCATCCATTGAGCAGCCATGTAACAGACAGATCACCTGAGGGATTTTAAGTGACATGGAGTTCCTGGACAGGGATCACTGAGTGCCATAGCCCTGGTCTAACAGGGATTCCAGTTGAGTGTGGATTTAAGGAACGTGGATTGATGGGTTAGTGATGAGTTTGTCTCATTCAAAGGGAAATGAAAAATGGATTTTTGGAGCAAGGCCTTGGTAACTTTTAAGGTGAAGGGGAGGAGGATTTGCAGGCTCATACATCCCTACCTTATGCCTGCTACTCTGCCAGGTACCAGGAGGATGGAGAGACTAGGACATGGTCCCCTCATGTAGCATTTCCTGCTTTTAAAAGGGAAAGTGATGGTCAGATGAGCAAGTGAAGTATAGCTTTACACTGACTATTGGGCACACAAAGGGGGAAATGTCTGTCCCTTGGATATCTGTCAGAGCAGGAGTTGTGGAAGGTCCTTGGGAAATTTCAAAGAGGAGGTTGAGGCTTGAGTTAAGTCATAAAAATGAGTAGGAGGACGAGAGGACGGTACCAGGCTGGCATACCAGGCAGGGAAAGAACCTGGATGAGTCTGGGGACTGTGAAATGACCTGGCCAGCTTGAACCCCACATAGTAATCATGTGACTTGGGTATAGGATACAAGGGAGAACATTCAGAGGATGACCCTGGAGAAACTGACAGACTCGCAGAGGCAGGGCCTTGCAGAAAGCATTTAAGATGCTGTACAACACAATGAAATTTGCACTCAGGAAGCTCTCTCTGTGAAGGATGGACCTGAGGAGGTGATGAGGATTGGAGGCAATCAGAGACCATTATGGCATACCTCTGAGAGATAGCATGGTCCAGACCGAAGGAAGTTCTAGGGCTTGGGGAGAGCAAAGCCCAGCTCCTGAGGCCAAAAGGAATAGTGGGCTTAGGAAGAAATGGGGATAGAATTAGAAGTGCCATGTCTTTATGTGGCAAGAACTATTTCCAGTCAAGGATTAGTGTAGTACTGGCCTTCCAGAGTGAAGATGACAAATCCTTATATACCACAGACTTGCTCACATAAGATGCGTGCAGTGGTCAGCCACAGAGTTCAGCCATGTGGTAGGAAGTTCATTTGAAATAAATTTTGCTCTCAGTCGTTGTGACAGGATCTTGTGTGAGAGCCTGGTAAGATGGGAGGCCGTGGAACCTTCTCTTCAGAGATGCTGTAAGCTGCTGGCTTAATAGAGGCTGATAATTCCTTTCTCAGGTCATCTGGCACCTGCTACCCTGGGGCCACAAAGCATCATTTTTCTGATCGGTAAATGTTTACTAGTAATACAGGTTTGTTGCAAGAAGTAAATAAGGTTCAAGCACCTGAGAAATGAAAGGGACAGAAGCAGTTACCACATGCATGCTAGTATGTCCTTTTTCTCCTCAGAGGGTATTTAAAACCAAACTCCTTTTCTTCACTCTCAAGGCTTATTGGCTGGGCACCTGAAAAATAGTATAAAACCACCACTCTTGTGTATGGCTGTCCATATATTTAAGTTCTTCGATGAGAATTCACATGAAATGCTTGGAAAGGGGCTTTTATAATCTGTCTTTCTCCTCCCTCCACCCACCAGGATGTCAGTTGCAACGAGATCACGGCTTTGCCCCAGCAGATAGGCCAGCTGAAGTCTCTTCGAGAACTGAATGTCAGAAGAAATTACCTTAAAGTTTTACCACCAGGTAACAGGGGAGGGAAAGATGAAGAAAAATGGGACATGTTACTTTTTTTGTCCCGTGTGTGTGTGTGTGTGTGTGTGTGTGTGTGTGTGTGTGTGTGCACGCGCGCGCGCATATGTGCTTAAAACTCACAGTCAACTATCAGAACAGTGATGTTCAAGTTCTAGTTTGAATCAAGGCTACAACAACAGAATCCCCTCCCTTACAGTGCTCTGGGGAGCAGGACATACATTGGTCTGCTAAGGATGCTATGAAAAAGCCACAGAGAACGTGTCTTAAAGGACAGAAACACATCTCCCCGCTGTTCTGGAGACTGAGAGTCTGAGATCAAGGTGTCGGTTGGGTTGCCCCTGCTGAGGCCTCTCTGTGGCTCTGATGGCCATCTTCTTCCTGTGTCTCCTCAGCATCCTACCTCTGTGTGTTTGTGTCCTAATCTTTTCTTATTGTGGCACCAAAGATTTAGGCTATCCCAGTGACCTCAGTTTAACTTATTTACCCCTTTAAAGGCCTTGTCTTTAAATGTCACCAAATTCTAATAAACTAGAGTTAGGGTATCCGTGTCTGAATTTCATGATTAGAAATACAAGCCAATCCATGACAAGGGTGGTATAAATTCTTTTTGGACAGGTGTCAGTTCTGGAACATGAAGCCAATGATCTGGGGGACATGCTTGACACTGCAGATCTTATCTGTCAAGATCTCTGGCTCTGAGAATCTGGGAGAGTTGGTTAGGAATGCACTTTCTACAGTCTTCTAGAAGAGGGTGATGCTAGTGTCAAGCGGCCCTTGTACCAACATCCCTCTTGTCACTGGTGGTCTTGGTGAATTTTACCAGCTAGAGCTCTAAAGCTTTCTGTATGAAGACTTGGCTCTACAGTCCCTTGATAGCAATGTCTCCATTCAGCCCTAATGTGAGCCCCTTCAGTGTGTCATCTTAAATGAGCATGAAGTTTCAAGCACAATGACATGTTTATTTAGAAGTTTAAGTGCTTAAGGGGCTGGGGAGATGGCTCAGTGAATAAATGACTTACTACACAAACATGAAGACATGAGTCTGGATCCCCAACACCTACATAAAAGCTGGGTTGGATCTGGTGGTATGTTTCTCTAACCCCAGCACTGAGTAGGTGGGGATAGGCCATACCCTGGAGCTTGCTGGCCAGCCATCCTAGTCAAATCAGTGAGCTGCAGGTTAGTGAGAGACCATCTCAAAAAGTAAAACAATGGGGTGAGCAATAGAGGAAAGCACCCAATGTCAACCTCTGGCTTCCACATGCACACGCATACATGTGCATATGCACAGTATGCACACACACAACAAACATGCACGCACACATATAAAACCCATATATATTACGTGCTTGAAAGTAGCTTTGTTGGTGGTAGAGGATTAGGAATGAGTGGATGAGACGCAGAACACCGGGTGCTTCTCTGAAACCCATCCCGATTTCCAAATATTGCATTGATTTCCACAGATTTTGTTTAAGGGCTTGAGCATTCCTGATGTCAAACATACACTTACAAACTCATCTCAAGTCAAAGCACGCACTTGAAAGCAGTCAGCATCTGGTTTGTCTGGTGTTTATTAGTGTAGCAGTTTGAGAGCTGCCTGATTCGTGTCATCCTGTTCCTGCTTCATCATTTAAGCTATGAATACAGAGCTCCTGAAGCTGTGTGAGAAATCTTTGTAAAACCCGCTGTGCTTGACGGTGGACGGCTCAGGTCGTTCGTTCCCTGCCGTCTTTCCCCTTTCTCACACTAGCTTTCATTTTCAGGAAGCAGAATTAGAAGCTGTCTCAGTGTAAAATTTGTTACTTTATTGTTTGAGATGAGCTCTTATAAAAATAGTTCCTTTTTAAATTGGTGATTGTGTCTTTTTTTTAACGTTTGAAACCATTTTCCTTAGTTTCAATAACTACAAATTTTAATTCATAGCAAATTTTCACATGTACAACCTGAAGAAACCCATTCAAATTTAAGCGCCTGTGATAATCATTGTGGAAATGTCATAAGTAATTGAACTCCCTTTTCCAGAAGGGAAACCAGCAGCATCGTTTTGTGGCAGCATGGAGAAGCATGGGGCTGTGGTCCTCTTAGTCTCCTGCCTTAAAAGCATTCCTTTCCCTATAAAGATCAGTTACAACCTGCTCTACCTTCTGTAATTATGTTTTCTCAACTTCCATATTTTAAAATATGCTAAAGTTAAAGCTTTTAGTTTACTGCAGAGTCCATTTAGAAAATTATATTCCTGATTATCAGGTTTCTTTTCGCTTCACTCCAGAGAACTCTGTTGACAAAAGAGCATCGATGCCATCAGGCAGCCCATTAAGGGTTTTCCATATTTACTTACATGCTTGTCCTCCTGGCGTACCCCTCCTCATAGGCTTTTAATTTGAGGAGGAACAAAAGAGAAGTTTGCAGCCCAATTACCCATATCATATTTGTGCACTTTTACTGCTACTGGTGCAATGAGGAGGACTTGTGTCCTTTCTAGGACCAGAATGAGCAGGGGACTAACGCGGCCAGCCAGCCGCCCTTTTCTCGTCCTGGCTCTTCTCCCTTCCTCTCCCATTTGCTTTCCTCTTCCGTTTTTTCCTGATTCTCTACTTCTTCCTCTTTCCTTTCCCTTCCTTCCCTTTCTTTTCCTTTACCTGTCCTGCTTCTTTTTATCTTTTCTGGGTCAGCCTTACAGGATTATCATTTTCTCCCATGAGTTACTGTTGTGAAATTGTCCAGCCGTCATTTTCCTAAATGACTGTGGAAATCATGTTCCATGTTAGAATCAATGAGGAAATCCTCATTGTAAAAACACTCCTTAGTTTACTTACCTGTAACTTATCACTTTCCCTGAATTTAGTCCTCTAGTCTTCCTTCAAAGTCTTCATTGTAATTGGCAAAGAATAGCAGAATATTGGCACCCCCTTGAATTTCGGCTGCTGAGCCAGCCTAACCTGTGGATCATCCTCTGCTGTGAACCCACTCATTCTTAGCTCTTTCAGAAACTGTGACATGAAAGGGGGATTCTACATTCCCTTTCCTTTAGTCTCATGCTTCCAACTCAGCTACACTAATCTGGTCCCCTAACACCTGCCTTAGCCCACAGCTCCTTCATTGTACCATAGCCTGAGGCGAATGACTGTCCCCACTGGGACATAAACTGCTGAGGGCAGTTTGAAAATAAAGATTCCGTAACATTTTTTTAAATGCACTTCCCGAGTTTCTCCTCCAGAGTCTTCCTACCATGGACCTCACTTTGGGACCTGGGAGTTGGGTGTTATGCCTCCTAGAATTTGTTTCATTGTTCTTTTCTGTAAGACTGAGAACTACATTAAAAGAAGGAAAGTCCCTGACACTCCTAGGCCTTGAATTCTGAGAAGAGGCTGTACTGGTTCCAGGGAGAATCTGTTGGTGGAACTGAAGTAAAATCAAAGGAAAGCCTCAGTTGTGTAGGGGCGAGGAGAAACTGTCAGTTCTTCCTCGAGGCCAGTGCCTTCTGTCCTCTCCTTAGCTAGCACCTGGCCTAAACTCATAAGCCCAGGAGTATTTTAAATGGCCACATTTTAGCCTACAGTTCTTATAACAAAAAAGAGGGACCCCACTGTGAAGTGACCCTGGTGTAGCCTCCACACGGCCATCTCAGTGATCTCCCGGCATCACATCTCCCGGCGTCACCCTCGATTCTGGCACAGCTCGGCCTTACTTGGCTCTATGGAATATATTTGACTTCGTTTCTAGCAGCTGCCAATGTTGGTTTGAATGCTTGAAATTGCTGAGTGTTTACTATGCCACTGGGTGGGGATTTCAAGCTAAATATAATGTTCCCTCTTGTTAACTGAGTTACAGCTGATTTTAAAAGCAATGGAATAAAGCCTCATCAAATCAGAATTATAGGGCCCTTTGGAAAATCCTAAATTAGATAACATTTTTTAAAAAAAAAGAAACCTTTGAAAGAAATTAGGAACATATTTACTGTAACTGTTTCTGGGGCTGAGCCAGCCCAGCAACAGAGAATAGATAGGGATATTTGGTAATTAGCATATCATTCATGTGTTAGCAAGTGCTACTTAAAAATGGAAGCTCAAACACAAACATGTTCTGTGTTATGTGGCTTAGGTCCTTTCCTGGAAGCAGAAAAGCTTTTAAAAAGATTTATTTTTGTTATTTTTAATTATGTGTATCTCTGTATGTATATCACATGAGGGCAAGTGTCCATGGAAGCTAGAGGTGTTGGATCCCTCTGCAGTTGGAGTTATAGGCAGTTGTGAGACATTTTACATTGGTGATAGGGATCGAGTTCAAGTCCTCTGCAGGAGCAGTATTCTTTCTTAACCACTGAGCCATCTCTCCACCCCCCCAACATTTTAGGCAATAGACATTATAAATGTGAAGCATTCCCAGCTCTTACCAGAACCACAACAATTTGAAATGACTGAGCACCTGGAGAAAGAGTCCCCCCATGCAGGGAAATAGTATAAATGCACACCATGTATTCCTAATGTATAGCTGGCCATTGATTTTGCTAAACAGAGCTTTTTTATAAACAGAAAATGAAATTTTGAATGTTTACCCATTTGGTCATGCTGTTCTCTGAGAATCTTTGTTCCCTTTTCTTATAGAACTAGTAGATCTTCCCTTGGTAAAGTTTGACTTTTCCTGCAACAAAGTGCTGGTGATTCCTATTTGCTTTAGAGAGATGAAGCAGCTTCAAGTGTTACTGCTGGAGAACAACCCTCTGCAGTCTCCTCCGGCACAGGTGAGGCCTGGCTGCAGGGTGAAGGCTGGCCAAAGGGTGACATGAAACTCGATGAGTACAATATGAGGTGTATGTGCTTCTGTGTGTGAATATAAAATATTTTAAAGTTTATTTTCTTTTCAAATGACTTAATGACTTCTCATATCCATTATTATCTTTCAAATTCTTAATTATTCTCTGTGGGCATGAAAATAATTGTTCTTTTGTCATCTTTTTTCTAGTTGGAATGTTACCAGTCCAGTTGTTGGGGGTTTTTTATACTTTCTACAATATTTACACTTAAATATGTTTTTGCCAGAACTTAGTAGTTTAAAAAAATTAGCATGACTGGGTGTGGTGGCATACGCGTTTAATCCCAGTACTCAGGAGGATCTCTGTGAGGCCAGCTGGTCTACATAGCAAGTTCCAGGCCAACTGGGGCTAATTCTCAAAATTCTTATGTATTTTATGTCCATTTTTAGGGGGTCACTTACCATGAAATTATGAAAACTAAACTATGGATGCCTTCCAGGAACTAACATTCTGTTTTGTCATTGAGAAATAAATATGTATTACTGATTTCTCCATAGATTTGCACAAAAGGCAAAGTGCACATTTTTAAGTATCTGAGCATACAAGCATGCCAGATTAAGACAGCTGACTCCCTTTATCTCCATGCCATGGAGAGGCCTCACTTACACCAGCATGTGGACCAACATGTGGAGGACAGGTAAGTTGAGTTGACCTTCCTTCACGCAGAGACCTTGCTTAGAATGTGTTTAGGCCACAGCTGTCCAGATAACTAACTTCAAAATTTGTATGCTTGCGTGCTGGAGAGCCGGCTCAGGAGTCAAGAGCACTGGCTGCTCCTATAGAGGACCCCAATTCAGTTCCTAGCACACACATGGCTGTTAACCACAGTATGTCACTCAAGTTCCAGGGTATCTGACGCCCCCTTCTGGCCTGCGTGGGCATTACATGACACAGGTGCACTTGCATACAAGTAGGCAAAACACTCATAAAATAACAATAAAGTCTAAAAATAATTCTTGAAAATCTGTCTGCTTCATTTGTGCAATTCAAATTTATAACTTAGAGTTTGAGAAACTAATGGTATTTTTAAAAGTGATGCTGGAGAGACTCTCCAATCTCCAATCTAATCCACCCTCTCCTGGTCAATAATCAGTCTTTCCTAAGAATATGTATGGATGTTATGAATGCAATTTATCATGTAAACATACATTTTTAAACTTGTCAATTAGCACAACTGTGTCAAGCTTCATAATTGTAAAACTTGTTAATTTTTAAGTTACTAAATTGTTGTCATTAAGCTGGGCATTGTAGCGCATACCTGTAATCCCAGCATTTTGGAGTCTGAGGTAAAAGAATCATGAACTAGGTCAGCCTGGGCTGTCTAGCAAGACCTTGCCTCAGAACAGTTTTTCTTGATTTTAATAACTGTATCAAGCCCAAACATTTTAAGAGCTACAGTTTTCAGTGTGACTGCCAAACATTATGAAGAAGACCTGCAGGCTTCATTTAAAAAGTGCAGCTTGGATAATTTTTCACCACTTCTTCTTTCAAGGGGAAGTATTAGAACCGTTTTGTGCATCCTTGGGCCATTTGTGGCATAAGACAAGTCATGGCATCCAGAGAACAAATTCCCATAGTGAACATACTTAAAGAAGCACAGGTCCTTCTCCAGAATTTATGGTAGAAATTTTTTCCTTTGCTTTTTGATCAACAGAATGACAAAATTTCAGACTATCCTAATGGCATTTTAAAAATAATGCTTTGAATATGTATCAGTTGGTTTGTGTTTATGTAACCAGATTTAGTTAATGGGAGAAAGTTTTCAAAATTATTGAAAATAATGTTTTATTACTTATGAGTTAAAACAGTTTTATATCATACTTGCTTATATATATGTGTGTGTCAATAAATGAAATAAGAAAATTGATAACTATTTCAAAAAAGAGCTTGGTCTCTAGGAGAAGGAATCTCTAAATACAGAGAATTTATGATGCTCTGCCTTTAGCAGATATAAGTGTGTGGTTTTCACTATGCCTGTCTTAATGTTCTTTAGTACTGGGATGATATGTTGTTGTATAATAATAGTAATACTAATAACATTCTATATAGCATGGTCATTGCAATATAAGTTGATGTATCTTGGTTTGAACTTTGTGATTTTAATTTTTTCCTAAATGAATTCAATTTTGGCAACCTCTATCCCAGCAAGAAGGATTCTGATTCAGGAGTTGGAAGCGACAATGGGGATAAGCGGTTATCAGCCACTGAGGTAACACTGCTGTTTTCTTTCTGTATTCTGGGTCCATCTGTCTGTCTTCACTAAGCTTCTTTCTGGAAAAGACCACTTACATATTTGCATCTGACTCTTTGATTGAGTTTGTGAAAGCAGTTTGAAATCCCCTAAGGGGAGAGACAATATTAGCTGCTCTTATTCTGTATCTTTAATAGTTTGGAAGTAACTGAAGATTAGAGTCCCTGTCTTCTTCCTCTCCCACCGCTGCATTATCTGGGATATTCTTCAGTATTTAATGAATAGTATGAAATGGCTAAGTTGTGTACAAGTAGCCATGAAGCACGTTTATAAATATCCCTATCTCCCCCCACCTTTTGTTTCTTTTTGAGACAGGGTCTCCATGTAGCCCCAGCTGCCCTGGAACTCACGCTTCCGTCTCATAGAGATCTGTCTGCCTCTGCTTCTTCAGTGCTGGGATTAAGGGCCTCTGTCACCACACCTGGCTTAAATATGCCTATCTTTAACAGTAGCTTTAAAAAAGTTGTTATACCATTCATAAATATTAAGGAATCAAGTGTGCATTGCTTCAGAACTCAATGTGCAGGAGTTGGTTCTTCTACCATGTGGGTTCTGGGAATTTAACTCAGGCAGTTCATCAGGCTTGGTGGCAAGCATCTTCCTGTGCTGAGCCATCTCACTGGCCCCTACCTATAGTTTTTATAGCAATATTTGGGGTTTTTTTGAACAAAGTTGTGTTCTGTTCAGAATATTGGACAGATTTCTTTGTAAGCTGAGTGGCCTCACCTTAGAGCTTCCTCTGGTGGTTATAGATCACCTCGTTCATTTCACACCATTATTGCCTCACATTTAGTCCATTGGATCCCACAGAGTTGTAAAGTGGGGCTTCCTGACCCAGAGAACTTCAAAGGCTGGGTGTGGTATGGAATGTATTACCAGATATTCTTCATTTTGAGGGAATGTGTACATTTTTCTAAATTTTGAACATTATAATAGATTAGTTACTTCATAGAAAGAAATCACATTTTGCTTGTTTGCGGTTTTAAGGAAAAATATTTTTCCAGTTCACCTCTGGTCTTTGAGCTTTAGTAAACAGCTAAGATGCTTGATTTATTTCCATATAATGTGCTATAAAGTACTGTATTTAAAAAAAAACACTAAAATTTGAGGACAGAGGAGATGGCTCAGTCTAGTAAAATGCTTGCTATACAAGTATGAGGCCGCGCATTCAATAGTCAATCCCTAGTATCTATGTAAAAAAGTCAGGAGTAGTGGTGTGTGTCTGCAATCCCTGCACTAGGGAGGCAGAGGCAGGAGGATCTCTGCAGCTTGCTGGCCATTTAGCCAAATCAGCTAACTACAGGTTCAGTGAGGACCCTGTCTCAAAAAATAAGGTAGAAAGTGATGAGGGAGAGTTTGACAATGACCTCTGTCCTCTATGGACACACACACACACACACACACACACACACACACACACACATATGCAGGAGCACTCTCCCACATACAAAAAATTAAAATTTAAAAATTAAAACAAATTAATATTTTGAAAGGAAGAAGAATTCGTAGGCGGACAGAAGAAGGCAGCCAGTATCATGAAAGAAAGGACCCACATGAAGCCACATTAACAGCTGGGGGTGGAATACACTAAACATACATGGCTTTCTAAGTGTATTTTAATTTATCCCCTTGGACTTTATGAAAACTCTTCAGTCCCCTCAAATGGATCATTGTTGCAGAAACTACTCACCCTGAGCTTATTTTCTATTAAATTAAAACAGACTCTGCTTTATCCTTTATCTCTCTTCTAAGGCTAATTAAGTTCATTAATAAAACATTACACAAAGAACTTCATTATCTTTCTCTTGCTTACTGTACATAGGGCAGTAATAGCATTCTGAAAGGGGCCCAAGGATTTATTTTCTTCTTTTTAATTAAATAGTATCTTTGGAATTTGCTAAATTGTAAAGATGGGAAGTGGGTGGAAGGAAAGGGGAACAATGGAAATGATTATATTCACCAGAGTAAGGTGCATGGGCCTTTTCTTTGGCCTTTTCTTGTCCTACACGCTGACCTCATTACCTAAGAGCAGCTCTAAGATTCTTGTGTTTAGAGTGATGAGCCTCTGAATTTCCTAGGTGGTGTTCTGTTTGTAATGCTTTTGGTCAAGGTCACTCCCCACTTAGACCTCATTGTGGGGTTCAGTGGTGACTCCAGTACTCTGATGGTTGCCACTGGTTGATTTAACATTGGTCATGAAGAAAATAAAAGCATATTTTTCGGTTAGATAATTAAACAAGAACATGTGAGGTCTGTGAACATTTGTTCGTTGAGTAAAATTCACACCTGCCTTCTGCCATTTTCTGATCAATCTGTGCACATGTCCAAAAGGAAACCGAGACAATCCTGGAAGGGCATAGCCTCAAGCATGTAGAAGCCAGCCACTCACCTGAATGTGCTCTGGGGAGACCCTGCTCCTCATCACCTGGGAAGTGTGTCACTACATAGCAACACTAAAATGGAAAAGGGAAAGTAAATGAGGCTCCATGTTTTACTTGTGCCAGCATCATAGATTTTCTGAATAAATTTCCTCAGCTAGTGTGGGAAAGGAAACCTCAGAACTGACCTCATTACTCATTACTACATGGAAACTTTGTTCTCAAAGCCACACAGACCATGGGCTCCTTATAACTAATACAATTATTTACCACTTTTTTTTACCATTCACCCTCAGAATGAGCAACTAAATCTTAACATCACAAACAAAATATACTCTTCCTTTTTTTTTTTTTGAGACAGGGTCTCTCTGTAGCCCCAGCTGTCCTGGAACTCACTATGTAGACCAGGCTGGCCTCAAACTCACAGAAATCCACCTGCCTCTGCCTCCTGAGTGCTGGGATTAAAGGTGTGTGCCACCACACCTGGCAAACAAACAAAATATACTCTTATGGGGAATGGAGAGGTGGTTCAGTGTTAAACAGCACTGGTTGCTCTTGCAGAGGACCCAGATTCAATTCCCAGCACCTACATCGTGGCTAACAGCTGTCTATAGCTCCAGTTCCAGCAGATCTGATGCCCTCTTTTGACCTCTGTGGGCATGGTATGACACAGGTGCATTTACATACATGCAGACAATACACTCACATAAAAAATAATAAAATAATTTTTAAATTACACTCTAAGTTTGCCTGCTTTTTGTAGCTGGCCACATGAACCCTTCATGTATTTTGATAAATTAGCTTCATTATCTGATCTCAGCACACCATTACTATTAAAGTGATTGATTAGACTTAGGACTGATGTGGTAGTGTGTTTACAGTTAATCTCTTGTTATACTGGATATTGCACGGTCCTTTAGTGCTTTTACTATGTCTGTAAACGTAGGAATATCAGAACCTGAGGTGTTCTCAACCCAAAGCATACATACAGAGATGTATATAGTGTTAGTGCCTTACATTTGCACTTCCACAACCAGCTCCCTTCACAAGGCAGAGCTTTACCAGGACCCGAGAACAGACACTCTTCTGACTTCACACATCCCTGACCAAACCTGCTGTTTTGAACTTGTGTAGGTAGAATTTTGTCTGTGGTACTTTTCACTCAATGTGATGTTTGTAAGATCCTGTAGGGTGCTGCTGTATAGTGTTCTCTTTATCTGCATTGACAAAACTTCTGCCTTGAATGACATGATGCCCTGTATCTTTCTAGCCCTCTGATGAGGACACAGTTAGCCTCAATGTGCCCATGTCAAATATCATGGAGGAAGAACAGACCATCAAGGAGGACGCGTGCCATCGTCTCACCCCAGCGAAAGGTCTGAGAGTGATGTGTGGAGAGAGCGCTTGCTTTGCAGTTTCAGGTGCTCAGTTTCAGACAGAATGTACAGAAATGGTGAAGATAACAGTTACTCCTCATTGCACGTTTCCCCTGAACCAGCCATCTTGTTCATTTGGGAAGATTTCATTTCAAATTCAGATAGTCTCTAAATGTCTAGAATCGATATCTCTGTTGTGTAGGTGGAGAGACCAAGGCTCAGGCAGTTTAACTTTCTAGTAGCTGCACAAGCCAGCACTACTTACTACAATGAACAGTAGAGCTCTCATTCTGAATGTCTTGTTACATAACACAATCCAGATGGAAGCTGGTCATTGGCAAGCGACTGCCCTCCAAGTGTTGCTTGAAGGACTAAAGTTCCATTCATCCTGTGGCTGCAGCATCTTTAGCACGGATTCCCAACATTTCCACATCCATCTGTGATGAGCCAGAAGGCAAAGAGCATAGCTGGTCTTTGGGGGTGTTGTGGGCTGGGCCTGGAAATGCCTATCACTTATAAGATGGACTTCATTCCATGACCACATCTAACTGCACATGAAAATGAGAAATGTACTTGAGATGTGGGTTCAGGAATTTTCTTGACCTTAGCTGTGTAGTTGGCCTAATCCCTCCTACGTAAGTTCATTGAAAGTTCTATGACTCTTTAATAACCATCAAATGATAGCTAAGCACAGTATCTTGAGCACCTTCTGAACCCTTGTAAGATTCATATTGTCAGTTACGTTTTGCTACTAACACTGAGATGTAGGTGTATGCATCTCTAATCTGATTATTACTAGTCATAATAGGTTGCACTTGGATCCTTGGCACCTGTGTATGTCTGTAACGTCATCGGGTATATTTCAATGGTAATATTTATCACCTCTACTAATTAGCATGTTGTAAATTTCCATGCTTCCTCCTCATATATAATACATTAAAATTTTTTGTTGATTTTTTTTTGTGTGTGTATATCACACAGAACATTCCAAACCATCTTATTCAACTATACACCCACTTCCCAGATGGCACCCTCCCATAGCATCCATCCCCCCTAGAGCCCTTATACTCTGATATCCCTGCTACTATCTGCTGTGTTGTCGGCACCCCTAGCCATTTCCCATTACTTACCCTTCTGGTGAATTGAGTCAGCCTATCTAGAGGTCTTTGTTTTAGGAGGGTCAGCTGTTTTGATGGCTCCTGTTTGTTCAATGACTTTTTAAAAATATTGAAATTTATTGTTCATTGATTTGTGATATAGACCAGTTCATGCTCTACAAGTAGCATAGAACTGGATCAGTATATAGATCACCCATCTAGGTTGAATAGAATCTTATTAATGATTAGAGATCTATTTTAAAGCAATCAAACTTTTTCATGTAGACAAGACTGGCCTTGATCTCATAGAGATCCACCTGCCTCTGCCTCTTGAGTGCTGGGATTAAAGGCCTGCACCACCACGCCTGGCTTTTTTCACTGTTTAGAGGTAGGAAACTTGTGTTTTTCTTTTGTTTTTTAAGAAAAAGGCTCCCTAGGTACCCAGACCAGCCTGGAACTCAACTCTCCTGCCTCAGCCCCCCAAATGCTGGGATTATAGCTGAGCATCACCACATCTGACTCTTAGATTTAAATCTTTAAATTTATAATTTGAAGGTAGCATTAAACTTAGAGACTGTGATGGGATTCGTACATGGTCCAAATATAAAACTGAATATTTGAATGCTAATATAATTGCCACTGAATTAATTCATATAAACATTGTAACATTATGCAGTATTAGGGCTGATGTTTGAGACAAACTTTTCTAATGAATTTATTACATAATCTGTTACTAGTAAGCTTCCCCCACCCCTTGTAGGCATGAGTGTTTTGTTGATTCAGAGTGCTTAAAGGATGGCCGTTGTGGTCTCCCAGCTCTTCCTTTTGCCTATGGAACAGAGGAGCTCTACCCAGCTTGCTTTTGCCTCTCTAGGGACTTTCTTGGAGTAATTTCTATTGTTGTTAGGATTTGGGGCTCTTGTCTAGTCGTGCCCCACATTTTCTTGAGATTATTCTTTGCTTAAGGACAGGAGTCATACATGACTGTTTTCTTTTTTTTTTTTTTAATTCCTAAAATGTACGTGCTGCAAGTAGGCACATACCTAAATGACATAATACTCATCACATAACAGCTTCTCCATAAATATTTGTTGAACTTAGAATTTGTGGTAATCAGTCACGTAGGTCTGAGCGCACAAAAGCTCTCTTTTATAATTTCTTTAAAAACTAAGAGGACATTTCATTTCTTCTGTGAGAAATTAAGCCATAAAGAAGCCTTGACGTTTAAAGTTCAACTTAGGGCCTTCTGTTTATTTTATATTTCTTCCTCTTCTTCCATGTTTAATTTTTCCCTTATATCTTTCAGGGGAAAGAAAACTTGGGTTATTCACATAGTAGGTGAGCAAGGGATAGAAACAGTTGTGTATTTGAGGATCATCTATGCTTTGTGTGTCTCTTTCTGAAAACACGCTTTCCTTCTTTCCCTGTGTTTCCCTCACAGGGGAATTTTGTCAGAACTTTCAGCCGGAGGGGCCTTCATCCCTGTTGGGTGACAATAACAGCTCAGCACAAGAACGAGACCAGTTTGCTGATGGAGCAGATGTTCTCCACTCAGGATTCGTGAACTATATTAAGGCAAGGTTTTGAGGATCAACTGAGTTTTGCTCATTTTCTTCTGCTTGGCACTTTGGGATTTAAGTTGAGATTTCAATCTATCACCTTTCCAAGTTCAGCTCACTGTTTCCTCCCTGCAACATTCAGCATCATCTCAAAGCTCAGCTAGTCTGCTCTCAACACTAGGAACTGGCCCCAGCTGCACCCACGTCCACATTGCCGCCGTATTCAGGCATTGCTCGGTTCCTTGCTACTCAGCAAGCCACACAGTTTAGCAAACTCATCAGAATGACTGACCACTCAGTAAAAGCCCAAGTCGGTTCACATTCTCCTCAGCGTGTTCTATGTGAGGAAGGGGTAGGCTGAGTATCCTTTATCCAGTATGCTTAAAACTGAAATGTTTCTGGTTTGGGGGCTGTTCAGGTCCTGCATCATTCACATGGATATCAGAGGAGCCCTACCCCAAAATCTAAAATCCAAAATGTTCCCAAAGTGGAAGCTCAGAAAGTTTATTTGCTTCAAAAAGTTTTAGATTTTGATGGGCTAGTAAGATGTCTAGTGGGTAGACTCATTTGTCAGAGGACAACTAGTAAGAGTTGGTTCTCACCTTCCACCACGTGGGTCCTGGAGAAAGAGCTCTAGTCTGGCTTGGTGGAAGGCACCTTTACCTTAATCCTGAGCCATCTTGATAGCTGCCCACCCACACTTTCTGATGATTGTGTTTCATGGCTTGACCTAGCCCGCTGCACCATCTCTGGGCATCACCTTCAAGGACATTGGGAAGAAAACACGCTGAACTTTGTACTTCATACTCAAGCATGCCCTGGCCTTCTTTATGCCCTTTAGTTAGAAATGGTGAACATGACTTGGTGTGTGCAGTATAGCCATCTAAAATGATTACAAAAATATATGGAAGGGTAAAACGGAAAACTTAAGTGTTGACTATCTCTAACCTGTCACCCACCCGTGCTTGTGTCCTCCCCTGGCATTGACGTTGCTTTGGCTAAGCCTCATCTCATCTCACTTTGATGGTTACAGGGGCTCCCTCCAGCTCCTCAGCAGGTGTCTATCTGCCCACATACACAGAAATGCTCATGCCTTGTATTCTGCCACCAGATGTTTTCTTAATGTACAAACCTAGTCACAGTTCTCTGATGCCAGTGGTTCTCACAAGGTCCTCCCACATTTGACCCTGGTCTGTCAGCTCCATGGGACAGTTTAGTCACAGAAACATGGAAAAATGATTTTGTCTTCATCAAGAGTTCCTCTTAAGTTGAGAATCTAAAGATAGAACATCTGAAAAATGTGTTTGGAAGATGCTCAAATTTAAGTTCTGGAGGAGATCAAAGTAATTAGTAAAGCATACTGTTTTCCCTGGATTCAGAGATTTCCAGGAGGCAAAAGTCTGGAAATGACAACTGTTCAGGGTGAATCCGGTAAACAGATACTTGAGGAGCAAGCAGGGATGAGGAAGACCACCTGGCACAATTCTAGAAAATACTTCTTGAAAACCAAGTGAAAATCACTACTAATCAAATAAAACCCAAGCCTACAATGAGTAAAAGAAAAAGTTGCTGTGAAGGCCCGACGGGTAGTGGGCTTGACTCTGAGCTCGTGCGGGATAGAGGCCAGTGAGTGAGCCAGACTCTCCAGTGCCTCGACCATTAGGAGTTGTGTGTTTTACATAATCCTTTTTATTTACTGAATAAGCATCTTGTGCTTTTGTAACTATGGCTAGTTTTTATTAATCATAGGAGTTACAGTCTGTGAAACCACCATGCACATTAAATGATCTAATCTGGAGCCATGGCTCCTAGAGATTATAGAAGGTTAGATTTCTATGAGCCTTTGGTCACATTTTTGTCACTCAGTCAACACAAAGCTTTGTTTCATGTGTGTTTCTCTTTAGAAATGCCTCACTTAATATGCATGCAGGCATCCTTTAATGATGGAGATAAGTTCTGAGAAATCTGTTGCTATGCAGTTTCATTGTTGTGTATTTAAACAACCATTGTCGCCAGCAATGTAATCTTATGGGTCTTCTGTTACTTATATGATGCATTGTTTATCAAAACATGGCTATGCAGCACATAACTGTATGTTGTTGGTTCATTAACTTTGAATTCACAGCCCTAATGTATGACGTACATCTGAGTAAAGCTGATCTAACACATCCCTCTCTCTGCGTGGCACTGTCCTCCCTCTGGCAACCACTCCCCTTCTTTCTGCTGCATTAAATTTTACTACTTGCGTGAGTGGGATCATGTATTTTTTTATGACTGGTTTATTTCACATAGCATGTTCTCTTCAAGGTTTTGTACATGTAGGATGTGTCTGAAGTCCCTCCTTGTATGGAATATTCCACCATATGTCCGTAGCATGTTTCCATTCAGCTATATCAGTGGATACTTGCCTTGCTTCTGCCTTTGGGTTCTTGTGCATACTGACATGGATATGGGCGGGGGCCAGTTTATGTCTTCACTGAAAAGCCAATAGTTCTCACAAAAGCCATGTGTTCTGCCCACAGGAAAGGACAGAAGACTGTGAAGAGCTGTTACGAATAGAAGAGGACACACACTGGCAGACGGAGGGAATGTGAGTGCCAGGTCGGGTTATGGGCATCCATCATCCCTGTTCCAGTACATGGGCAGTGGTGTCCTGATAGACTTTGACTCACTTTTCTTTGGATAAGCTAATAATCTCCCCAGTGATATTTGCCAGTTTTCCTCTCATGTTGTTGCAAACCGGACATACAGTATATCTTAGTTGTAAGCTGTTATAAGGGAATACAGGAAATACAAGGGAATATAGACTGGGTATTTTATATGCAGTTGAAGTTTGCTTGGCTTACAGTTATGGAGCCTGGGAAATCCAAGAACAAGGGGCTGTTTCTAGTAAGAGCTTTCTTGCTGCATCATAACACGGCAGAAGGCATTATGGGGCAAGAGAAAAACAAGAGAGAGCTGAGGTCCCTTGGATAAGGAACCACCTCCTGTAATAATGGCCCTGATCCATTCCCCTCACAGCCCGAATTCCATTAGCAACACTCTTGCATTCAGTATGAAGCTTCTGACACAGAACTTTGGGAGACATCCAAACTTCAGAACAGCAGAAAGTTGTGCCTCTTCATTGGCCTTGAGTTTGATCTGACTTGAGGTTGTCGGTAAAAATGTAATTCAGAGAATTAGCTAGAATGGCTAGACTGGAGAGTTTACCTTCTTTCCATCTGCTTGAAGAAGTAAACAGCCAGACCTAATGTGATTTGGAGCACCAATCCCTTCCCAAAGGGCCCACTGGTTCAAAATCTTTAAAAAAGATTTCTTTAGGGGTTGGAGAGATAGCTCAGCAGGTCAGAACACTGGTTATTGTTGCAGAAGACCCGGGCTCGAATCCCAGCACCCCGATGGCAGCTAACAACTGTCTGTAGCTTCAGTTCCAGGGGATCTGATGGCCTCTTCTGTCCTCCGCGGGCATTGCACAACATGGGTGCGCTTACCTACATGCAGGCAATACACGAATACCCATAAAATAAAAATAATAAATGAAATATTAAAAAAAGGTTTCTTTAATGTCTTGGTTACAAGTCTAATAACTGACAGAATTAACATGTATTAAATACCGTATGCTTGGCAGTGTCCTACCACAAGTCAAAACTCGGTTCATCTTTACAACATTCCTATAAGATCTGTTGTCTGACATATTGCAGATGATAAAATTAGGGCACAGGGAGTTGATGATCTTTTCTCTAAGCCTAACATTTGACCCTAAGGAAACTTGTACCAAATGAATATCTCTTCAGCTCTGTTGTCTATAAAGATTTATTTGGCAAGATCTGCAGGGGAGGGGTGAGTGACTCATCAAACAATGAACCATTTCCAGGAAGTTGAATTTGGAACCTGTAACAGAATAGATGTTTATTTGCTAGGATTTTGCTTCCTGTGGTCTGGAACATAGGATTGGACCTTCTGTTATTCTTTGTGGGAGTTTTCCCTTTAGCAAGGATTGGTCAAGTTCTTAAAAATGTTCTCTATTAGTGGAAGTTCATTGGCTTACATTCTGTGGCAAGTGCAGCTAGCCATGTTCCAACTGTTCTTGAAGTTGGAAAATGCAGGCAAGTCCCTCTGCAATCACTCTCTGTTTTACCAGCCACTCACTGGACATACTCCTGAGAGGCCACAGAGACCTGATTGATTGACTCATAGAATTGTAGGGAAAGGGAACTTTGAGACTTGCTGGATCTTTGGCAATCCCAATGTCTTAAATCTGCTCTTTCAAACCCTGGCTGCAAAGTCTATAGGGCTTATCAAATGCCCACCCTAACTTGAGGTCAGACCTGCTTGGGACTATTAGGCCTGGCACGTTTCTTCAGCTCCACAGCTGATTTTCCTGCATTATAGAACTAGGGCTGAGAACCACTCTCCTTCACTGAGCCCCTTACAGCACAAAAGTAATAAAACTCAGCTCTACTGGTTAAACTGGAGTTGGAAGCTCTGGAACTGGTCCAGACCCACCCAGGCAGAGAGCCCCTTTAAGAAATCTTACAGAGCTCAGGAAAGAACAGAGAGACCCCCCAACCCTGTCTGTTGCCGTTTGTCATGGGAGCTCTCCTACTGGGAACTGAACTGGACCTCCTCCATCAAGAGGCTCCTCACACCACCACAGAACCCACCCCGCAGGGTATTAATATGTCTTATTATAATACTGAATTTTTCAAAATCATTTTTAGATGTCAGACGGGGCTTTGTAGGGATGCTTTTAGGAATCTACTCCTGTTTACTCATAATCTCTCTCACACTTGGTTTTATGTTACAGACTAAGTTCATCCAAAGATCAGGACATGGATATAGCCATGATTGAGCAGCTGAGAGAAGCCGTAGATATGCTTCAAGATCCCAGCGGGTATGCCTGCCTTTACTTGGCCTGGGTCTCATATGTAAATGAAACATAGTAATTTATTGAGTATGTTGCTTCAGTTTCTAGAATATTCATACACAATTTGATCTCAGTAAAACTGCTAACAAAGAAAGGAAAGTCATTTTAATTCCCTATTCACCAAGATCCAAAGGTGAGAGAGTCAAATTTTTAGTGATTAAAATTGATTCCTCCTTTCTCAGTGTTTAATGAAATTTCCTTACTTCTCATGAAATTTATATAGGATGCTTGGCATAATTCATATATACAGGATATGATAAAAGTGCAAAAAGTCTAAACTGTTTTATAGACATATGAAGACAGTTCTCCTAAAATGGAAATTAGAGAACTACTTCTGTATTTATTTCGGGTAGTGACCAATATATGCAAATCAGCCAGTGTCTTTGAAGAGATTTGGGTTGTAGGCTGCTTTTTAAATTTGAATTGGACACTGTCAGGAATCCATACAGTAGGTTTGCGCTTGTTGTTTGTTAGAAAATTGAATTCCCATTGATGAAAGGTTTTTTGTTTAGTTTAGTTTTTTTTTTTTTTATTAAGGCAGCATCAGATGTTTGATAATAGATACATGACCACTAGAGGAGGAGACCCAAAGCTCATCTGTGGTGAATCTAAATTGTTCAGGAGTCCCAGGAGTTTCAGTGTGAAGAGGGTGTGATTTTATGTGAACATGACAGTCATACACACCACTCTTAGCTGGGTTCTTTTATGAACAGGGTGTTTAGTGAACCCAGAGCAGGCCAGAAAGAATACACACTCCAGCAGTTTTCATCTGGCCTTGAAAGAATAGTGGCAAGTCTGTTTGTGTATGGCTGGAAATCATTAGTAATTGACTTGAAAAGCATTTAAAGTTTTATTACATCTATTTGTGTGTGTGTGTGTGTTCATGTGTGCATACCATGGCATGTGGATAGAAATCATAGAACAACTTGCAGGAGTCTGTTTTCTCCTCTTATCAGGAGGGCCTTTGGGATTGAACTAGGGTTGTCAGGCTTGCTGGCCTTTATAAAGCATTTTAATTCTGAAACCATTAATGTTTCTAATGTCTAATTCTAATGTCTAGAACAGGGGAAGATCTGCAGCATGCAGCTTGGGGAATGTACAGACGGAGTACTTACAGTGCTTATATAATAACTAGAGATTAACAATCCGGAGATCACCCAAAGCAGTAATCTGTGTCCTGGATTTAAATGCTTGAGTGTGTGTGTGTGTGTGTGTGTGTGTGTGTGTGTGTATCAGGAAGTAACAACTTTGTTTCACTTTGCTGATAAACTTTTCTTACAAAGTCTGATTGGGGGTGATTCCCATAGTGAAAAAGTACACTCCAGTTTCGTAGAAATAGCAGTGTTCTGGTATGTGGCTTAGAACCCTGTTATAAGACACCAGTGGCCTGGAGGAAAGGTGCTGCATCTGGGATGCAATTTCCTGGTCTCTTGGGAAGGAGTTCTAGGCTCTTCTCAGCTCTGGAATTCCTGAAGCCAGGATTTGCATGATGGGCTGAGCAGTACAGAATGGTAGGTACCTGCTGCACTGGACAAGAGAGCATCCCTGACTGACCTTCAAGTGATATTTGATTGGCATCTTTATCAAATGCCATGTTAATCATTTTATGTTGGAAATTTTATACCCTAAAATAATCCACTATTTTAACTACTTTATAAATTCTTTATCTTAAAATAATTTCTATAATAAATTGGCAAGTCTGACCTTCTGGTAATACCTTTGCGATCCAAGGAATTCTAAATTTTTTCAGTATAGTAGTCATCTGTATCAGAAAGATCTTCCAATTAAAACTAAATGCCATTGGTACCTGTGCTAATGTTAATACCTTAGCAACTTGATTTGCCTCTGTAAATATAGGAAGTTCTAGATAAAATTTAGTATATATTACCCATGAAAACCATGCCTATCAGAAATTACTGTTATAGTATAAATAAGGTGGATTTCAATAAAAGTAGCTGATAGAACCTTATGTTGGGTAGATGGTAGGATAATACCAGGAATTTGGAAATTTTTCATTTAATCGTAAGACAAACTTCCTTTTAGTAAGATAAATGTTTGAACTGCATGAGAACATTAGAATTTATAAAAAGTTTAGTGAATTTACTGCTGTTTTCCTTCATCCTTAGTCTAAGCACAGACATTTCAGAGAGAAGTATTTTGAACCTGTACCCCATGGGATCAGCAGAAGTCTTAGAATTACCAGAGTCTGCACTAAAGTACGTTTGCCTTTTAATGAATTAGTATATTTTCTCTTTTTACAATGATGTATTTGTGTTTCAAAGTCCACATTATATCTTCTTTTTTCTTTCTGCCTTCCTGCAGTGGTCAAATGCAGCTGGGGACATCTCCCGTGTGTGAGGTAAGGCCAGAACTAAGTAGTCTTCTGCCACAGAATGCTTGCCCTATAATCTGAGAGAGAGATTCTGTTTCAGAAATAAGGTGAAGAGCTATCGAGGAAGACACCTGATGTCCACCTCTGTCTCACACATGCACATACAAGTGCATTTGTATTCACATGCACATGAACACACACATATACACAAAAGATTATTATAATGAGAAGAAGGATATTTAGGGACAGGATAAGGGTAAGTTAGATGAACTAGTTACATGGGATGAAATTTAGACCATTGTAGAGAAAACTTTAAAAAAAATATGTTTTTCTTTTTATTTTGAGCGTATGAGTCTATTGCCTGCACACACACACACACACACACACACACACACACATATGTACACCTGTGTTGTGCAATGCCCAAGGAGGTCAGAAGAGGGTGTTGGAGCCCCTGGAACTGAAGTTACAATTGGCTGTTAGCCACCATGTGGGTGCTGGGAACTGAACCCAGATCTGCAAGAGCAGCCAGTGCCCTTAACTGCTGAGCCATCTCTCTAGCCCTGAGAAAACAGTCTTTGACGTAAAGCTCGGGATGAGCCTAAAAGATTCTAGAGAAAGGTTACCCCAGTTGTGGAGCAGTATGTTTGAGCTACAAATTTGGGAATTACAGCCTATTAATATCCATTTTATTCCTCCAAGTGAATGGGCTTAAGATGACTAATTTAGATGCTGAGATTGCATACAGACCAATGTAAACCCTGAAACTATCTGCACATGTGCTCTAAGTAATGAAGCAGCTTCTTGCTCCCAAGTGTCTGTGTTAATGAAACCATGAAAAAAGCCTAAAAGAGTCACATTCACACACAGTGTGCTCTGGTGTTATAGACAGGGACTGGAAAGTATGTCAGGTAGCTATCCCATCGCAGACTTGCTAACTCTGGTAACTTAATTAACCTCTCCAAACTGAAGGTTCATTTTTGGTAAATTGCAATCATAATAATAGCTATCATACAGTTCAAATGAGATGATTCAGGAAAAACCTCACAACAGAGGCCCCTAAATGCTAGCTGTTATTCTACGACTCTGTTATTATTAGTGGTGTGGTCCCCAGACAGAATCACAGTGCCACCTCTGCCCTGGATGGAGCATCACTAGAGGACCAGTGGTGAATGCCACAAAGCCTTTTATTTGCAGGCTGCCCTTCCATCTCCTCAGGCCTCCCATTTGTGATTGACTTTATCTCTCTGTAGACTCCTTTGTTATTGTCTTATTTGAAAATATTTTAAAACTTTTTGTTTCATTTATTTTTATTTAATGTGTATAAATGTTTTGTCTGCATATGTGTAAGTGCAGCCATGTGTGCAATGCCCACAGAGGGCAGAGAGGCATTAAATCCCCTAAAACTGGAGTTATATGGATGGTTGTTAGTCACTATGTGGGGTCTGGGAAACAAACCTGGGTCCTCTGCAAGAGCAGCCAGCGCTCTTAACCATTGAGCCATCCCTCCACCCCATTATTCAGAAATATTTTTAACCTTCCAAAAGATTGTAAAAAGAAATTACAAAGTTCTATGAAATATGCAATAAGTTTTATATGCACATTTACTAGTTAGGGTTAAACATTCTGAGCCTGAAAATCCAAAATCCCAAATATTACAAAATCTCATATTTTTCAACACTATCATGACATCACAAGTATAAAATTCTGCAGTTGACCTCATGTCACACAGTTAAAAGACAGGTGTACTTAAAAATATTGAATAAAGGGGCTGGGAAGATGGCTCAGTGGTTAAGAGCACTGACTGCTCTTGCAGAAGACCTGGGTTTGATTCCCAGCACCCACATGGCAGCTATGGACCGTCCTTAACTCCGGTTCCAGGGGAATCTGAAGCCCTCTTCTGACATCCATGGTATTGTACGACACGGGTGCACTCACATACATGCAAACAATACACTCATACACATAAAACAAAAACAATAAATAAAATATTTTTAAAAAATTGAATAAAATCCCCTTGGGCCATTTGTGTAAGGCATGCATGAAACAAAGATGACCTCTCTGTTTAGAGAGTCCTGTTTCCAAGATCTTGTTATGTATCTACAGCTCATCCAAAATCTCAAAACCTAAAACCAAAACACTTCTAAGTCCCTAGCATTTTGGATAAATGATACTCAACCTGTGTCAACGTTTGACCACATTTGTTATATTATTGGGTCTCTCTCTTTTTCTCTCTTCCCATACACACTTCTTTTTCTGAAGTAGCTGAGGGTCTTAGACATGATGCTTCTTTTTACCCCTAAGCATTCCAGTGTATGTTTTTAAGAACAGGGATTCTACCTAACAGACCCACTTCAGCAGCCACTTCGTAGGTCTGTACTGGTAGGCTGTCTTTACGGAATCAGCCACCCATATTCCAGATAAATCAGTTGATCTAAAGGGTCTTTAGAGCATTCTTTGCCTTGCAGTGTGGTTCCAGTCCTATGCAGGCATTGTGTTCCGTTCTCAAATATCTTTAGTCTCTTTATAATCCCCTTTATTCTGCAACATTTCTACAAACTTCCATTCTGTGATACTGAAATTGTGGAGAGCACAAGCCTTTTTTAAAAAACAAAGCAAAACAAACAAACAAAAACATAAAGTCTCATTAATTCAGGCTGGCCTAAAACTCTTTTTTTGTCAGATGACCCTGAGCTCCTGATCTTTCTGCCAAGTTCTGGAACACAGCTATGTGCCACCGAACCCTGGCATGCCTTTTGAGATAGGGGTTCATGTATCCCAGGATAGCCTCAAGCTTGCTGTGTAGCAGAGGCTGATCTTGAACTTCTCGTCTCCCTCCCTCTACCTCTGGAGTGCTGGATTATAGGTGTGTGGTTTATGTGGTGCTGGGGATTGAACCCAGGGCCTTGTGCAGTATTCAGTAAACATTCTACCAGCAGCCCCAGCCCCAGCCCTTTCCTTTTCTAGTGGAGTGTTCTTCATTTGGCGTTTGTCTGACATTTCCTCATGACTGAGATTCTGCATTCTAATTTTGGATACTGCCTAGGTGATACTGTGTGCTGTTCCCAAAGCATCATGTTTGGGGGCCTACTCTGTCCTTCTGTCTCCCATTGGTGGTATCAATTCAGTCACCCAATTGAAGTCTAACTCTTTTTTTCTACTGTATGATTAAATCATCTTCATCATATAATCAATGAGAAGTCTGTGAACAGACACTTCGGCTCTCTATGAATGTCCCACTGTAGACCTATAGATTTCTATACAAAAGATAGCTCCACTCTATCTCCAGGCATTAATGGACAGTCATTCCCGAATAAAAAAGAACTTCCTGATAGAAAAATAGGCCTTGCTAGATGCCTAAAACACTTTGTGTTTTATATATGTTACCAATACATGTGATCCTTGACTTATAATGAGGTTCTTTCCCAATAAAGTGTTTCCTTAGAATATCATTAAGTTGAAAGTGCATGTAACATGCTATTCTACTGAGCACTATCGTTTTGCCTAGCCTACTGCTAACAGACTCAGAACACTGACATTGGCTTGCAAAGGGGCAAGATCATCTGACACAAAGCCTGCTTTATAATAAAACTTCAAGTAATCTACTGAATTCTGTACTGAAAGCATTCAATAAATGGCGTGGATGGTGCATACCTGTGACACCAGCACTTGGGAGGCAGAGACAGAAGGATATCCAAGAGTAGCCTTGCCTATATAGCAAGTTTGAGATCCTGGTCTATATGAGACTCTGTCTAAAAAAGAAAGTGGAGAACTAGGATGGTAATCGTTGAAATAGTCTATTTTCACACCAGAGTAAAGCTGAAAATTGCAAAGTCAAACAAACCTTCATGAAGTCAGGACTACCTATATTTCCATTCCTTCAATGAATAGTCTCAGAGTGCTTCTGTTTGTTACTGAGGAAACCTCAAAGAACACAAAGGGCCAAGAGGGTCTACACTTAGCAGGGCATACTCCTATTAGAAAATGTAGGAACAGTCACATCCTGTTTACAGATGCAGAACATAAAGCTCAAGGTTGGGTAACTGACCAGTCAGTTACCATGGTAGCTCAGAGGCCCTCCTTTCCCACTGTATGTACTATATATACATATAGTACATGTATGTATCCCAGTGCCTCTCTATGTCATAGACTAGTAGTAACACTCAGTCTTGTCACACAAACTTTAGTGAGGCCTGATTGCAGCCAACCTTTCTTTAAAAGCTGGTCTTGCAGAAGGCAAGAGGTCAATGTACTAATGAGTACCTGAGCCACATTCCAGGAATGTGCATGGGGTACGTGGGGAACAGAAGATGAGTGTGTACTAAATATAGACTGAGCCTAATTCATGGTTTTGCCTTGGTCTTATTTTCATTTGGCGTCCCTGCACAAAGCCAGGTGCTCAGTGTCCTACTGGCATTCAGGCAATATTGCCACATTTTTCTCCAGTGTGAATGTTCTCCTCTGAGCAGACAGATTGTACTAATAGTCTGAGCACACAGGAAGAGCCAGGTCCAGCCTACCTACCCACCTTCCCTTAAACATGCTTCTTAAAATGTCCTTGAACTTTCACCCTTGTTGAACTTTCAAAAGGAAAAGGGTTGTGCATCCCTGTAATCCCAACACTGAGGCAGGAGGGTCCCAAGTTCAAGGCCAGCCTGGACTACATACTGAAATCTTTCCTCAAATGAAACAGAACCAGAGCCATGCCTGTGTTCAAGACTGCCAGAGCACAAGGAAGGGAGCAAAGCTTCTAGAACTAAAAGATCCCTCAACTCCGGCTCTGAATAATTGCTACTCAGTTTACAGAGCCTTCTGTTATTTTAGTGTACTGTAAGCTTGTTTTTTCTTTTTGGCCATATTTAGTTTAAAGAATTCTGTCTTCTTTTCAGAGCGGTTTTGGGCCTGTGGCAGACAGGTCTCTGATTTCCAAAAGGAAGGGAGGAATAGCTGGGTCTGATGGGAAAAAGAATCATGAGAAGAAGAAATGAAAGTTCTGTGTCCTTGGTTATTACTTGGCTACACATCTGTACTCTCTTCCATCATAGCATCTTTTGGCAGAGCCTTGAATCGGTTCACCAGCATTTGTTACCTACCTGTGCTGGGTGTGGCTTCTTTTGGTATGGGAAGACTGAAATTTGAAGCTGGGACATAGCATGCATTTTTAAGGTGTTTTACAAATTGTAGAGAAAAAGAAAAAGATGTAGATATTGAAAAAAATTTGAGACGACTATGGCAGTTTGTCCTCCTGAGCCTGTCCTCTGGGAGATTGGGGACGGGGTAGTAGATTTAACGAGAGGGGAGTGCACTTAACTTTGGGCTGTTTGGGACTCAGACTTGGAGTAAGGATGGCCTGGGAGGATTTTGTGGAGTATGTGGCCCAGCTGAGTAGTGAGGAAAGGATTGTGTACAGGTCTGAGGTTCGTAACCCATCTGTGATCTGCCTTAAACATACTTTAGAAGACTGGCCACATGAAGTTGGGTAGTATGGGTATCCAAGGAGGGACAGTGCACCTTGCCTGCGTGTGCACAGATTGTATGGAGTGGAGGAGATGATTGAAGGAGCAACAGAAAAAACTAAAAGAAGTACCTTATAGAAGGAGTTAAGCCTGATGCCAGTCATTAGCAGTTCTAAGGAGGCTCTTTAGTCAGATAGGAACACGAATGACATCTTACTCTAAATGTGTTTTTCCCTTGTATTTATATGAAAGTTTAGGGACATTTTTCATGACATTCCTCAGCAATGAATAGACTGGGCATCTTAAATGTACACTTTCTTGATATATATGAAGATGTTTGTTACCTATCACTATATTTTTTTATTAGAATGGCTCCATGTGGTTCTTGATAACTATATAAGAAAATACAGATCTCAGAGGTGTGTATGTGGGGGGTACAGACTAGGATATGTCCCTTGTGGAACTCTTGCCTCTGTATGTCCCCGTCTTTCTCTTTTTCTTCGATCCTCTCTTCAGCCATTGCCTCTCACCTTCTGTACTGACCCTTGGAACATCTGATCACAATTTTGGAGTCAAGCATCCTATAAAATCAATCACTTCTGCATTGCAGCTCCCTACCTCCACCCTTTCTTGGTTTCGTCTCCGTGCCTCTTATGCTGTCATATCTGCATGGCTAAACTGAAGGAGGCAACATCCTTTTGAACTTCTCCTGAATCGCCAGTGGCATTCAGCAGTACTACCACTTGCACATTTCTGCTGGAGGCCCTGGTCAGTTATATCACACTCAGTTCCTTAGTGCTTCTTTTAAACAGTGATTGCCAAAGCAAACTGATACTGAACTGATCACCTGAGATATTTCAAGGCTATTTAGGGTTCAGGCATGTGTATTTATTAAAAGCTCCCAATGTGCTTCTATATATTTTATAACTACTGTCTTGGATCATTTCTAAAAACCCATAATTAACGTGGGGATGGGAGCCAGCAGGCAGCTTGATAAATAGGTAAGAATGCTCACAGATACTTGGGCAGAACCTCTCTATAGAGGGGTAATCTTATATTAATTTGTGCTATACTTCAGATACATTTTTTCTGGGCATACAGCTGCATAGTTTTAGAAAATATAAGAATGATCTTCATAGCTACTTGACATATCGATTAATTCACCATTTTGTACTGTGCTCTCTAGGCAAAGATAGGACAAAAAAAGAAAAATGCACTCTTTGCCTCTTCGTTCTCACAATCTGGCAGAACTTACCTGCATTTGTCTCTTCCTTAAGGTGCAGAATGAGCTAACAGTACAGAGCAATGGGAACCAGCATTCTCCGTATGAGGTAAGATTCCTGGTGAGTAATGGAAACAGATATTCTTTGAAGACTGAATTGGAGTATGTTTCACAGAAATGTATATCACATACTGGGCTTAATGAGTTAGGAGAAGAGACTCTGGGGTCTCTTATCAGTTGTCATTTACTGCCACAAATTTACTTGGCCCTGTGCATTATTAAAGATTGATTTTATAAGAAATAGTTTTGAAAACCAAGTATAGGAACATCTTTATAGACAACCACTGAAATAAAGAACATTCAGAAAGTGTTAACCAGATGATTTGGCATGCAGTTTCTGCTCAGCGGTATCTACTTCCTTTCACCATGTTAGTAGAGTCTTTTTGAGATGTGCCCCTTGGGATATTTCCATCATATCTCTGGCCCAGGAGCCCACATACCCAGTATACCACTATGCCAGATGAGAAATGAATCACCAACTTTGTCATTGTAAAATATTTTTATAGCAAGCAAGTAAAAAAAAATACAACAAAAATAATCATAGTAACACAATAGACTGCCCTAAAACAACATTCTGTTGACTGCACCACTTAAATTATTTACAAAATGATTTTATTTTTTTAGCCAAGATGTCATCACACAACAGCAAAAACAAATTCAGAGGGACTTTATAAAAACCCTTGATTGTAGGCATATACCTGGTTTTTTAGGTTTTTTCTCCTAATTTTAATTCCTTCTTACCCCGTAGGTGAGAGTGAACTCCCCCTCGGTATCTCCTACTGCAAATAGTACAGCTCCTTTTGGCCTGAAACCTCGATCAGGTATGTTAAAACCTCAGTCTATTCTTGTATTAAATAACTCAGTGGTTTCTCTTTAGCCTTTTCAATGTATACCCAATCAGTGTGAACATTGCCAATTCTGGTGGCTTGGATTTCTGCCATCAGACCATGCTGCAGCTTGGGGAGGTTGGAGACTGCACTGAGCAGCTGCTTGCCCAGGCTTCCAGGAGTGGGCGGCTTGCCTTCTTTTCAGTCACAGCAGAGAAAAGTGGCGGTGGGAGCATGAAGTGGGAAAGAACTATTCCATTGCACTTCTTACCCAAGGAAGATAAAATAGCTCCCCTTTGCCCCAAAGGTTCCTGGTACCCTGCAGAGGTAAAGGGCAGCCTGAAGGCAGACTCGTTCCCGAGACACCCCCAGTTTCTTTCTGAGCATGGTAAGGTCTATGTGTTTTCTCACACAACAGGGTGAGCATTTCAAGGCTTGTATGAGTGCTCAGCGGTCATAAAAGTAATGTCCTTTAGGAAAACATCCTGCTGACCTACCTGATTTTGTACTTATATGCTGACAAAAGTAAATTATAGCAGTGTGCAAACTAACTTGATTTTTAAAAGGACTCTAAATAGAAAAATATGATTCCTCTGATTTCTTTATATTTTCCCAGTTCTGATATTCTCTGCCTTCTTTTAAGACTACCTTTGTTTTAAATTTTCGATTCTTTAGTCCTTTAATGCATGTCCCACTAATGCTTTTAAGCAAATACTAATAAAGTACCTGGACACATTTAAGCAAAAGATGGTAAAGAACTAGGATGTTCTCGGATTCTTCAGGAAAGCATTTTGACAACAGTATGAATTATGCATGTTTCAGATTTGAAAACAATTAAAAAGGTGCCAGTGGGGAAAACAGAAATGATTCATTAATAAAGGAAGTATTTGTTCTTGGAGCAAGTTAATTGATGGGCAGTGTGTTACCAGGTGCTGTGGTTTCCTGGCAGTTTGAATGAGCTGTGAGGAAAAATGTCAGTTGAAAAAAATGCCTCTAAGGTACCAGAGTTCATAGATGGTTTTTGGTTTTGTCTTGTGGTCCTGGGAATTGAACCCAAGCCCTTGCACATGCCAGGCAAGTGTTCTACCACAGAGATCCATCTCTAATCCGAGTATGTTTTGGAAAGTAAAATTGTATATGAAATAAAACTCAAATGGCTGGCCTCCACATCCATAAAAGTAGGCATATGTAGCCATATCCAAGCTTCCCTTCAATTTCCATAATTCCAAGCCTGTCCTCATGTTGGGCAACAGATTCTCTTAATCATGTAGACAGTTTAAAAATATTTTTAGACTGCCCAATTTAAAAATACTTCATAATTGAAGTCAGAAACCAACTGAATATCCAAAGATCAATAGCCTCTTTAATGTGCAACCTTGCAATTAAAATTTTAATTAGTTAATTACTTAACTTATTTATGTGTATGAGTGTTTTACTTGCATGTATGTAAGTGCATTGCGTGTGTGCTATGCCTGAGGAGGCCAGAAGAGGGAATTGGATCCCCCAGAAATGGAGTTACAGACAGTGTGGGCCCCCATGCAGGTGCTGGGAACCAGACCCAAGTCCTCTGCAACTTCAAAAAATGCTCTTAACTATTGAGCCATCCCTCCAGCCCCCTACCTTGCAATTTAGTTGTAAAATTGATTCAGTGATTTTTTTTAATTTCTGCGGATTTCTTGGTTAGTTGGATTTATTATTAAGTAGACTTTACTGAATGTTCAAATTGTTTTATTGTTGTTTTTACTGAGCAAGATTGGAAACTGGGTTACGAGGCATCTCAGGGGCTAAGGAAGAATTGGTGAGATTCAGCCCTTAATAAAGCATGCCACGAAACCTGTAGATGTCTTTTTTTTTTCAATCTCCATTGTCTTGTCGTAAGAGCATTAAACAATGCTTCTGTAATAGTTTTATTCCTGAACAGATATTTTTGTACATATTGAGCTTTGCCTTATGTGACCAACTTTCTTGTGGGCAAATTGTATTAATTATATCTGCTAAGACTGTCTTTAGAAAGTGTTTTAAGAAGGTGTCCAGTAGGCCTTTTTCTTTTAACGTGCATAGCCCGTGGCTGCTCTTTCTTTCTGCTGACGTGACCCTTTGGTGCTCTAGTCTACAGGCTTGCAGAACTGTTAAGATTAAGGATATTAACTGCATGCAAAGTGTGTGACTGATGAGTACTAACACTCAGTTTTTATCATTCTTTTTATTCCATGCACCATCTTCCATTCTCCTCCCATATTGTCCATTTGCAATTAAATCCCATGTAATGAAACTCACTTCATTTCCATATGAACCTTATGCCACGTGTGAAACGCTGCGGCCCCTTTGGTTTTCCCTGGTCCTTGTGCACCTACCCGCGGCCTGGCTCTCTCGCTCTCCTGCAGACCCAGCCCTCATTCTCCCTCCTATCTCCTTCAACAAACTTACACAGGCACAAACATGGGACAACTCTAGCTACAGTGTTCCATCTGAAGGAGACAGTGACAATGGTAGGTGTTTTGTACCTCTTATTCAATGTTCGTATTACTAAGCCAGTGAGTATACTGCACTTTCCTTTGTGTGCAGCTGGAGGTAGCCTATATTCACCTGCATGCTTAATACAAAGTGTGCGTGGAGAACAAAGTCCAGAAAAATGCATGGCAACTGTTCTCTAACTGTTGGGGAAATGACTCTACGTACCCTGAGGGTTCTTACTGAGGGGAGGATTTTACAATACACTTTTCTCTACCTATTTCACGGGGGTTTATTGCTTTGTTTGTTCATCCACAAGGATTTGAGCTCCTGTGTTTGGTTGTTTCTGCTTGCTCCCAAGCCTGCAGCAAATGCTTTCAGAGTTGAATCTTTTGGGCATGCTGGGTGTGGTGGTGCACTCCTGCAATCTCAACACTGGGGAGACTGAGGCAGGAGGATAGCAAGTTTGAGCCCAGCCTGGGCTACAGAACAGGGCCCTGCCTCAAAACATAAAGTTGATCTTTCATTATCTGTGCTTACCACAGGAGATCTTTAAGGTAATTAAAACATTGCACGGCCGATCCTAGAATGTTGCACTGAAAATATTAACATTGAAAAATTTCTAAAAATGAAGAGAAATTACTTGCTTTCTCCTTTTTTGAAGTCTTTTCACATTGTGACTTTTGATATTTTTCTTGAGTATAAGTTCATCTTCATTATATTCGAGTAGTAGCCTGAAAAATTATGTGTAAAATTTTAAAAATTAAGGATACCCAGTATTAATGTGGATATTTTAATTTTTAGATTAGATCTCTTAAACAGTCCAAGAGATAAAAATAAAATTCTTTAGATCCACATACCACATCTGTCTGAATCTCTGTTTTAATTTAATGTCAGTTCAGGTCATGACATTTTCCTCAAGATACAAAGTGGTGGAAATATTAAATAAATAGAGAATTTTATTTCTAGGAAAGTGAGACATAACCATGTTGCAAACATAATGGAAACATACTTTCTGATAATAATTTTAATATAAGTATGCTATAGATAATGCTTAGAAAATATATTTAAAATATGTACTGTAATTTATGGTTAAAATTCAGCCAAATTTATCATTTCCTTAAGTTTAAGAATAATGTATATTCTGGCAGGTTACTTGTGTAAGAAATAGTAAGATTTCAGTGACGTTTAAAATTTTTTTCTCTGAAATTAAGCATAGTTAAAAAATAACAGCTGTGAAACAAAAGTCCTTCTTTGTGCCACATGCTTTAAATTCTGGAAGCTGAAGAGGGTTAAATGGAAACTTTCTATTCCTTACTTAAAAATAAATAAGCAAATTACTAAGAAGAAGAGTTTTTGGTTTTCAGAAAGCATGGCTATTTGTGGGTGTGATGTCATTTAAAGGAAATAAAGCCTAGAATGAAAGATTTATGTGTGTTGGTATTTCCTTAGGAATGATATCTGAAACCAGAGGGTTTTTTTTTTTTAAGCTGGGAAAGAATTAGACATTTTATATAGCAGAATTTCTGTGCTGAGAGATGAACCAATCCAAACCAGAAAGACCAGGTGCTGTCTGGCTCTCCCTGTGAGGTAGGGGGTGCAGGTGGGGCCACCACCAGGACTCCCAACTCTGGAAGTCTCCTATCAGACCATTCTGCCTTCATTCCACAGGTGTTTACTGAGGACCTGATGGGCAAGGCACTAGGCCTAACCCTTCTCGTTTTTTAAGAATTCTGACATAGCCATAGCAAATAATCATTATGAAAACTTTTCTAAAGCTAAAATAACCTTGCATTTGTTATTTTGCATTTTTTTTCCTATGTGTAACAATTCTAGGGTTTCACCCCATACTTCCACAGTAATAGTAAATGGGTTGTCCTCAGTGTTCTTCTGACATGAGCATCCCTGGTAGATGTTTGATTGTTTTCATTTTTCTCTGTGCCGTTCATCCCTAATGTGTTGCTGGGTAAGAGATGGTTTTCTGTGCAGAAATATTCTTTACAAAACTATTCCTGCGGATTTTCAGACCTAAAATTCATGCACACTTTCTTTGTGTATTAAATGTTTACTTTGTGATTGGAATACATTTTCTAATGAAGTTTCTTAATTAAAGAGGCTGCACACTAGGTCCTCAAGTAAAGAGCTGATGTCGCATGAGGGACACACCTGCTTTCTATGTTCTAAACGCCTTCTCAGAGCTGGACTCTTCCTCTCCTTCGGCCCTCTTGATCTTTCAGAAAATGCTAAATTCTACATTTGTGTTGTTTCCTTGTAGTTTTCATATAATCCGACATCACTCCAGCTATCTAACCTTTGTAGTAAAAGCTGTCTTATTGCCCAGTCAGCCTAACATAATATAACTCTTAGTAATTAACTTTACCCTCTGTTCGCTGCCTCACTTTGCACAGAATGACTCCTGTTTATTTCAGTTCCTTCTAGTATTTCTTTCCAAATCAGTCTCATTTTAAGATCAACATTTTCTCCAACATAGTCTTCAAAGAGATTTTTTTTTTTTTAATGGTGAACAGGTTGCAAGGACCTTGAATGTTTGGAATTCCACAGTTCCTGAGAGGGACAGAGGATAGCTGGGAGCCCATCATTAGCTCTCCTGCCTCTAGTGTCAGCTGGGACAGCTTTAGCTCCTTGTGATGTTCACTGAACACTCCCCATCTCCTGCACTTGCTCTTAGCCCTCTTATGGCTCAGTCTTTTCCTCCTCCATTCATTGGAAAGTCAGACACCCTCTTAACTTCCTTGGAGGCATTTTGCCCTTCCATTTGTAGTGAATTTGTGGGCGCTCATTTAGGTTTATTTAAAATGGATCCTTACTTGAGGATGAATGAATGGCCATGTCCATCTTGGGCCAATTTATAGACATTTTTAATTTTGTGTGTGTGTATGTATGTGTGTGTGTGTGCACGCGCACGCGCGTGCGTGCGTGTGTGAAAATTTTGCATGAAGATCGTATTCTCCCCATTGCAGAAGTGAGGTGCTGAGGGTAAGGGAGACTTAGTGGTTCTCATCTCTAGCTTCATATT